ACAAAGATCAGCCGAGGAGCTTGTAGATGTCATTGAACCAGAAAAGATTGGGATACACGGACTTATCGGCCTGCGTGACTGTCAAAAACGGCAGCGAATCCATCCACCAAAGGTGACACAACTGTGACTGTTATGCCAATAGCCTCCATGTAGTCAAAACCACGTGGCAATATGTGGCAATGGAAACTCCATTGGTGTCTGAATGGGAAAATGATCACTATAAATTATAAATGGAAGATGTTCCATTGCCATGTTTGATTACCAGAGGGTATATCAAATAGGTATGGGTCAAGTACCGTCTGATCACAACCAGATAGTTGGTAGATGGACATTTCTCCCCGGTTCCGACGACGGTCCTGTACGAATCAACCCCTCTCCAAGTAGCACCAGCTGCTGTTACTAGTTAGTTAAACCCCAGCCTTGTAGGCCAACTCCCCATTTCTGATAGCTACAGTAAATCATGTTAGATCGCCATGTGTTGATTAAATCCCTATTTTTGAGAATCCACGGCGGTTTTCTCCACGTGTCAACTTCAACAAAGCTACAATGTCCCCGACAATCGGAGTAGCAGAATGCAACGCAGCCCTGCGCAGTGGCTGGGTTTCGCGATGGATGCGTGAAAACCAACATTTTTTGGAAACGACCCCCCGGCAAACTAACATTGACTAACATGACTATGGAAAATGGCCCGTTCATAGATTTGGGAGAAAACAGGCCTGTATTTACCCTCTGGATATTGAATTATTGAAAATGGTCCATTTATAGATGATAAAAATGATGATTTGCCTATTAAAAATGGTTACTTTCCATAGCTACGCTAGATAACCAAAGGGATATTTGGATTTCACCCGCCTATACACAGCAAATTGATCAAGAACCCGGACGATTTTTTGGTCATGTGAGTGGGGGGATATCTACTATATATATATATATCATCATGATCATGATCATCATCATCATCATCATCCTCGTCATCACCATCATCATCATCATCATCATATATTGATGTGAACACCGGGACACTAGTGGTTTTGGTCCACTATTACCTTTCTTTGGCAGAAAAAGACTTGAAGCGGATGAAAGGGAATGGAAGGGAATCGTTGCAATGTTGAGGAGCCATTAATCTTTCATCTTTTCCATGTTAAGATATTTTGGAATTACCAGGTTTCAGAAACCACCAAATTATATACATCATGTTTCAATATGGGAAACCTTATAATCCCCTCTCCGTATTACTAAAACGCTTCCCCCCCCAAAAAAAAATAGTAAACACGGTGATCTATTTTTGTTATTATGGTGTATTTTGTATTAGGGTGCCCATAATATTCCAATGAAAACACCAATAATAAAAATCTGGAAATGTGATTTCAAATTTAATTAAATCTCTTGTTAATATCTATATAAAATATTGCCAAAAAGATGGATTTCGAAGCTTTCCCCTAATATTCGAATGAAAACCTTACTAATAAATATATATATATATAATTGAATATATAACTTGTGAGATGGGACCCTGATAAAAAAACATCCAGGTGGCAAGCTGTTTTTATGAATAGGGAGTTGAACCCATTGTTTCACCATTCTGTTCTCACATTGATTCTCAATTACCACAATTAAGAATCCAATTATGCCCAACCAAAAAAAACGGACATGCCACACCAATCCTTTTTTTTTTATTTGGGGAAGTTTTAGTAATGGAAAGACGGGATTATATAAATCCAATATTAGTTCTCTTGTTTTTCACTAAATTGGAGTCGTTGCTGATGCAGACTCCCATCATCCACTTGCCACAGAATACTCTGGATGTTCAAAGATGCTTCGATGTTTCTCTAACCTATCCTGGTTGGTGGTTGGCCTACCCCTCTCAAAAATATGAAAGTCGTTCGTCAGTTGGGATGATGAAATTCCCAACTGAATGGAAAGTCATAAAAATTGCATGGTTCCAAACAACCAACCAGCTATATTGTTATTCCAATTATTAACCATAGATTAACCATAGATTGACCATAGATTAACCATAGATTAACCATAGATTCATGTGAGAGGGCGGCATATCCACGACTAATAGAACAGATTGTACACGACAGGTTTCGACGTATGCCAGAGGAGGTTCCGGAGCTTCCCGTCCACTGTATTATACAGTGCCAAAGGAGGTTCCGGAGCTTCCCGTCCACTGTATTATACAGTGCCAGAGGAGGTAGTGCCTCCACTGTATTATACCGTGCTAGAGGAGGTTCCGGAGCTTCCCGTCCACAAGAGCTCAAGGAAGCGCTACTATTACCTGGGCGCCTGGCAGAATCATGATGGATATGCGGTGTGGAACGACTTGAAAATCCATGCCAGATAGGCAGGAAAAGGCTAGAAGGTGGAGGCTTGCCAGTCAGAACGCGACATTCACACACGATAAGGATGATCATTGGAAATAAGACTAGCTCGTTTTTCTTGAATGCCCACGTGACCAATGTTCGCCAAAGGTGGTAAATGCAAAAAACTCCAATACAATCTCTGTAAACCGAAATCAGTCAGAGGAGCAAGCCTCTCGATCGTGGAACTCTGTTCCCCGCAATGGTGGCATTTCACCGTAGATCTATACACCACCTCACATCAGGTTCAAGTTCAATGCGTGTAAATCTCAGGTTCACTCACCTTGCTGCGACATGGTGAAAAGCAATCAAGAAATCAATCCGGTGTTGACAAGAAAGTAAGACCGTAGACTCACCTGAAAAAGATTCTCGATGGCGGTCGGAAAGCCCTGCCAGGAGCTATGCTCAATAGTTCTGTGAAACACTCCTATGAGAATTCTTCTCACGGGCCTCTTTTTTGCCCATCTCCTCATGCAACGTTTGCAGGAACTTGTCGAGAAATTCCTCCCGCACAGAGTTCAAATAAAGTGAACTGGCCAACGTGAAATAACTTCACCTGCTTCTTTGACATGATTGCTTGTGAAGGATGGCCTGGGCGTCCTGTCGAACACCACTTGGCGCCAAAGATATACTCAGGAATTAACAAAAAGTCGGCCAACTTTGTGTCTGTTGTTGTTATTGTTTGCCATATGACGCGTTAATCACATAAGCTCTCTTCAGTAGATAATGCAATGTCGAGGCTTGATACAACCAAACATGTGACCCGTACCAATGACATGCAAAGGTCCTTTCAAGCGTCTGGAAAAAAAATGTGGGATCTATCCGACCGGCACTGCGCGGCCGCCAAAGAAGCTCCTAACAGCATCCGAGCAGCAAAGTTACTTTCAAAATCCGAGCTCAAATGTATGCAATGATGGATTGCTGAATCAAGCACATGAGTCTATAAATCTGATCCGCCGCGTTTGTGACCACAACTTCAGTGCGAAATTATCAAATTCCATTGCGAACCCTGTACGCGCTGACAGTGTTGTGAAGCGTTATCAGCTGCCTGTGTTTAGTGTAATGTAGTGTAGTGTAGTGGAGTGGAATGTAGTGTAGTGGAGTGTAGTGCAGTGCAATGTAGTGAAGTGTAGCGGAAGGTAGTGTAGTGTAGTGTAATGTAGCGTAGTGTAGTGGAGTGTAATCTAGTGTAATGTAGTGTAGTGTAGTGGAGTGTAGTGTAGTGTAATGTAGTGTAATGTAGTGTAGTGTAGTGTAGTGGAGTGTAGTGTAATGTAGTGTAATGTAGTGTAGTGGAGTGTAGCGTAGTGCAATGTAGTGAAGTGTAGCGGAAGGTATTGTAGTGTAGTGTAAGGTAGTGTAGTGTAGTGGAGTGTAATGTAGTGTAATGTAGTGTAGTGTAGTGGAGTGTAGTGTAGTGGAAGGTAGCGTAGTGTAGTGTAATGTAGTGTAGTGTAGTGGAGTGTAGTGTATGTAGTGTAATGTACTGTAGTGTAGTGGAGTGTAGTGTAGTGGAAGGTAGTGTAGTGTAGTGGACCGGAAGCTCCGGAACCTCCTCTGGCACTGTATAATACAGTGGACGGGAAGCTCCGGAACCTCCTCTGGCATTGTATAATACAGTGGACGGGAAGCTCCGGAACCTCCTCTGGCACTGTATAATACAGTGGACGGGAAGCTCCGGAACCTCCTCTGGCACTGTATAATACAGTGGACGGGAAGCTCCGGAACCTCCTCTGGCACTGTATAATACAGTGGACGGGAAGCTCCGGAACCCCCTCTGGCACTGTACAATACAGTGGACGGGAAGCTCCGGAACCTCCTCTGGCACTGTATATTACAGTAGAAGTGAAAATAGTCGGATATTCTTTTTCTAGAATAGTCGTGGTTTCTTTTTCTAGAATAGTCGTGGTTTTTTTTCTAGAATAGTCGTGGTTTCTTTTTTTTCTTGTCGTAGGTTCAACAAATTAGTCGTGGATACACCGCCCTCCTACCATAGATTAACCATAGATTAACCATAGATTATATAACCATAGATTAACCATAGATTAACCACAGATTAACCATAGATTAACCATAGATTAACCATAGATTAACCAGGAAAAATCATGTTCCAAACCACCAACCAGATACAGTATCGCCACATGGATCGATTTTCCCATGGGTCCAATTGGTGGTTGTCGTATTTCGTACTGTTCTCAATCTGTGAACAACGGAAACCCCAGAAACCCCAGAAACCCCTGAAAAACATGAGAACATTTTGACAATGAGGGTTTTTCAGAAACCCCAGAAACCAGTTTCCCCCCTAAAATATTCCCAGAAACCCCAGATCCCTCAATTTGATTGAGCAATCTTATGGGATTTTGGGAATATTTTAGACTCTTAGGGATCCACGACGCCATAAGCCACTGGGCTTTGTGAAATTGAGTAGGTTGCCTCTGTTTAAAGCGGGTTTGTAAATGTCCTAACTTTTCACATCACCCGACTAATTATTAAAGGGGATATCAAGATGCCATCTTCAATCATTCATTCTCAATCTTTGGTAGTCCACAAATCAAATTCTTTGCTGGTTATGTGTATTTTCAATTTCTAGCAAAAAACATGAACAAACTAGAGGTCTACAGGATGAAATTCAACTACCTACCCGGACCTATGAAAGCTTGGGGGATGAATTTCTTCAAAACTCACCAACTTGGGACATTTCCCAACTTTTCCCAACGCCCCCATGGTTTTCGGCGCCCGCCTCACGATGGCCCATTCAAAGGCCGTCCCAACCAAGATGGCAATCAACGCAGAAGGAACTCGTGTGGAGAGTCTCGGCAACCACAGGGAGACCACAAAGGCCAGCACCTGGGGTGGCACCACGGGCCAGCACTGTGCAGTTGAAACACTTTTCCAGAAGAATTGTGTTAAACGTATTCCAGAACTATCAGAATTCTTCTTTAGTTGTCAGGCTGAATATGTCCAAAGATTCCAACAATTCATCAACGTCAAGCCTTCGACCCGGGGTGAACATACCAAAAGATGTGGAAAAGCCATGGTTTCTAGTCTGAAAACTGATCGACATGTCTGGAGCGTTTTTGTATGTTTACTGGAGGGTACTTCCAACATATCCCAACTATGGAAAACCCCGTACGGCATTTCGCAGGCGATATACTCATCTTTTACGGCCATAAACTGGGGTGGGGTTTGATTGTACTGTTTCCCATTACATCCCGTTATCCTCTCTTCTATCCTCATGTCATCGTTCGTTTTACACCCCAAGTATGAACCCCCAACAAGCCTCACATAGTGTACAACCCACAGGGCCATCCATACCCATCCGAGCAGAAAGGCACTGTGATCAGCGCGGCTAGGCCTGCCTCCTGGTCTTTTTTGCACGGAAAATCATTCAGAATCAACCAGAAACTGATCAATTTATAGCATACCACCCACAAAAGAAACGTAGTTATAATAAGTTTCAATAACTTGTAAGAAACTACAATAAGTTATAATTGGTTTTAAAAAACATATAATCCAACTATCAGTGAGTCAAAAAAACGGCTCATCTAACCATCAGCTCCTGAAAAGCCCATTTGAAGCCCTGGTAACTTCCGGGGCTCCAGAGTTCCATATCGTTCCGTCCCCCATCACTTAATTTTTGTTGTTCAAAGTTGCCACTTAAGGGTTTCCTAAAACAGGGGTACCATGGTGCCATGGGGTACCCCCAGATCTCATCCATCTTTTCCTGGGATTTTCCATGAAATATACAAAATCCAGCGTTTTTTTTTGGGTACCCCATAAAAATGGAAACCTCCAAAGGACTTCACGGCTTGGACCATGGACCCATGGAGCAGCGCCCCAGATCCTCTCCGTGGATGAACGGAACACCGTCTTGGAAGGCGTGAAATGCGCCTAGTCGTCGCCCTGATAGCGATGATTCAGGCGATGCTGCGTGAAGGTAGTGAGGGTCCTGGACCAGGCTGGTGGTTCACTTTTTTCATTGGGAAAAGATGGGAAAAGATACGAACAAATATGAAGAAAGGGGAAAATGATTACAGGACTTGGGGGGGTATTCATTTCATCATTTTTGGAAACAGCTTGTTGGATTCAAGATTCTGGGGGTTTGTGTGGAGAGAACAGGCAACCAGCACCCAAGACCTCTACAATTTGGATAGCGCTTGCTGCAATTGACAGTATCAATTAGTTTGCACCCTTTTCAAGTCTCAAAGTAACTTGCAAGAATATCATAAGAATATCATAAGAATAATTGGTGAAAATGGGACCACTATGGGGATTTTGAATATTTTCAGATTTTGGTCCCATTTTCAGCAATTGTTGGGACTAATAACACAACACTGTGGATCTGAAAAATGGCCATTGAAGAGATATAACCATGATTAATCATCACATTAAGGGGGCAGCCTATTTTCAGACAAAACTATATATACTAGTTACTAGTTTAATTAGTATTCTTTAAGATATTGTCATATATTGTCATCACTTATATTCAATCTTATCTAAGTGTATCGATTTTAAACTTTGATCAATACTTGGCAATCTATCATTTCAGTCATCTCCCATTCCCGAAGTACCACTTGAAGTCCTTGAAGTTGCTGATCTGAGCAAGGCCAATCACCAGGGCCAAACCGTTGCAAAAGCCGATCATGACAGGCACTGGAATGAGTTTCACCTGCAACCCATAATCATGGTGAATCCTGGGTAGTCCACTTAAAAAAGTAACTTTTTTGCTGGTTGTTGCTGTTTTCCATTTATAATAAATATATATATATGTAACATATATATATATATACCCTCTGGTTATTTAACATAGCCATGGAAAGTGGTCCAATTATAGATGGTTTACCATGGTTTACCGAACTTAAAAATGGGTGGATCTTTCCATGGCAAACTGTTAGTCATAACCAGATGGTAGCAATAAACTGAAGGATTCAACTACTACTATCCAAGCTTCGGGATGCGACAAAAAGCTGGGGTAGATCCGACAAATTGGCGACTGTCCACATCCGCAGCTATTGTTTGAGGATCCGCAGCTTCACGTGACCCTCTTGCAAATTGACATGGGTTGATGTGGATACATATGGGTATGGGCCAATACCTATAGATACCATTTTTAGTGGGATGAACATTCATAAATCCCAGCTATTTTGATGTGAACTACAGGGGTACAAGGTTTTGACACACTGCCATATGTTGTTTTTGGAAGCATGTTTATTGGATACATCCGCCAATCCTTGCAACCCTTCAAACCCCGCCCCCGGATTTCATGAACTTGTGGACTCAGAACGAGCGACGTTTGACCAAATATTTACATACTAAAAATTAAACTTCATTGATCAAATTCATATTCATGATATTTAATTTTATCAATATCATGATCCATATCTTGTTAAAAATATCATTGATCCATATCATTCAACAATTCATAGAATCCATGGATCTCCATGGATCGATCATGGGATCCTATCGGATCCCTGGGTCCCTGGGTCCCTGCCCATTGCTCCAGGTGGCCAAAGTGCCCACATTGATCAAACCCAAGAAGATCTCGATGATACCCATGAGGATCACCTACAGTAACCGTGACCATCTGGTGGATCTCATGGGATCCCGGATCCGGGAAAAAAACCAACGTGAACGTACCAACAACGGGGCACCCTTCATGATTCACACATAGCAATTTTCATGGGGACAATGAGGCTATTTAAGATCATTTGGGGACCAACTGGGGCACCCTATGTTCAGACTATGAGTTATGAGGCTTTGCAAGTAGACGATGTCTTTCGGAAACAATGTGTTTTGACACCGGTCAACAAACAAAAGACATCAAAAAACGACGGTGTCGCGTTCTGAAGTGTTGTGGACGTCATTGTCTCGCGTTGTATGAGGTCAACAGGTCAAAATTTTGTGATGTGGAAACGTGCGGTCTCTCAACGCGCGTTTCACCCCTGCCATCCGAAAATCCGCAGACTTGTTTTGCTTGTTTGGGACTTGGGACATTGACGTTCACCTCCAAATGGGAGGTCTGGGTCAAGACCAGGACCGAGTGTTTCAATCCTCCTGAAGATGAATCCCCAAGAGTATCTGAGAGTAACCTCAAAGTGTCCATAAGAATCTGGAAAAATCATTGGGGTTTCCATGGGTTTTTAAAGATTGGGGTACCCAAAAACTATGATGTCCCCATGATGTTCCCATTGGAAAACACGGAAAAATGCAAAGATTGGATGATCGTGGAGTCCCGCATTTAAGGAAAGGTGTTTGCGTGGAACTTCACCTCTATTTGTTTTTGATTCCGACATGTATCCCTATGTTTCCACCCACAAAGTTCAACCCCTACCCTTCAGTAATCTAATTTAGCTGACAATGAACAATTCAAAAAAACTACTATTTATGGATAAAATATGATAACATGTTCCTATGATTTCCTATGCATACTTTCATATGTTATTAACCCTCATCATCTTTCAGATGTGTCCAAAACCAAATGGATCGACGCTTTGCATTTCCGCCTTGTTGGATGACCTGATGGGGAGCTGAAACTCTTAGATGGCCTAAAAAAAAATCGTCGTTGAGTTTAAGAAGTATATCCCAATCAAGCAGTATATAATAATAATAAGTAAACACAATAAGAGTAAAACTACCAATATATATATATATATATATATATATATGTGTGTGTGTATTACTAGAATTATCTATTTACTTAGAATTACAGTATATCCAAATCAAAATGATAACACATTACAAACATAATTAATACGTAAAACTACCCTTCACCAGCGGCTTTACCGTGTTATATTCGATCTTGTTCAATGACATCACTTCTCTCCCCCAGATGTTCATTGATTTTCTTGTTGAACCTCCAATCTTCGGTTCAAAGACCCCTTTTCCATCCTTTTCCCCCATACATCTCAGTCATTCCCAGCTGCTGCGTAGAACAGCAGCACCTTGCCATGCTCCTGTTGCACCGTCTCAGGCACCAAGACAGCCAGAGAGCCGGTGGCGCCGCAAATCATCGCAGGACGACCTGGCGCTGGGTCAACTGGTGGAGATCCAACAAAAAATTAGTCAACACATACCCTCTGGTAATTTGTTACATAGCTATTGAAAATGGCCAATTTATAGTTGATTTACCCATTAAAACTTGTGATTTTCCATAGTTATGTTAGTTTACCAGAGGGTATATGGGATACAGAATTCAATGAAAATCAATGAAATCATGGGATACATATGTTTGATCCATGTTCCTATAGTGGAACTTACTTGATATTCTTGACCCACAATATTAATGGTTAAAACATGTTAAAACTATACATACAAAGAGGACTTGATCAAGGGAGAACGGAGATAGATCGAACGCTGAAACAAGAGTGAAGAGACCCACATTGGCCAACCATGGGTCCGAATCATGTCAGGGATCATCCAAGCAACCACGGGAAAAGCTAGCTGCAGTGCTTGCCCAAATGGGCCTGATATCAGGTCTAGAACCAAACACCCATGTGTTTTCCCTGCAAATGCGACTACAAATGCGACGACCGGAATTATCACTTGGGCCTGCAACTACTGGACACTATCCCCGAAAATCCCAACACTGCGGGTGTGTCAAACCAGCGCTGTGTTCTCTCGCTGCATCAATTGATGCTGCTTAAAAAATACCTGCAAACCCGCTGACATGATCAAACCCTCCAAGCTGCGCTTGGGTTAGATTTGCCAATAGTCAGCGTTTGCAGACCTGCTGGCAGAGTTACGCCATCCAAGCTGCGGTTGAAGCTTACCCCTAAAGTAAAGGTTCGCAGACCTTCTGGCAGGGCTATGCCATTCAAGTCTTGGTTGAATTCACTATACCAAAAGTCAAGGCTTGCAGACCTTCTGGCAGAGTTACGCCATTCAAGCTGCGGTTGAAGTTTCTGCCTAAAGTCAAGGCTTGCAGACATGCTGGCAGAGTTACGCCATCCAAGGTTTGGTTGAAATGGGACCCAAAAGTCAAGGCTTGCCTTGCAGACCTGCTGGCAGAGGTACATCCAAGGTTTGGTTAAAACCGGACGCAAAAGTCAAGGTCTGCAGAGCTGCTGGCAGAGTCACTCTAAATTGTGCAAGGCTTCCGTTGAAATTCGCCCTCAATTCCAGATGTTGAAGGCCTTCAATTCGTGTGAGCCCATGCAAAGAGAACTCCTCATCCTCCACCTGTTTTCCTCGCAAATACTTCCAGGCCGCCAGCATATCCATCGGAACACATAGGACAAGGTGACGCATTCTCCAACGAGTCCTTGCTGCACTGATCATCTGTTGGAGCTGTCGGCCATGGAAAGAGACACCTGGGGGGAGCAAAATGTTGAAACCATTTGAAACCCATACAGCTTTGTTTTTGTTTGTGCCAATCCATTCAAGAAAATGTTCACCAAAAATAATTGTCACCATTTTTCCAATCAGAAATCGACAAAAAACGTGAAACCGCCAACATCCATGTGGCTGTGTCTGAAAACCGGATGGACCAAGTGATCTGCTGAAATTCAGAGATGGCACAAAGGTGTGCCCTCTCGGCTGATTCTTGTGTAACTTAAACCGGTTCCATTGTGTAAAACACTTGGCAAACAGATCATCAACCCTCAGGTTAAAGAGGGATTCTGGTTGGTGGTTTCAACCCCTCTGAACAATATTAGTCAGTTGGGATTATTATTCCCAATGTATGGAAAAATAAAAAATGTTCCAAACCACCAACCAGGATTATTTTCTCCTTTCAAAGGGTTGAAACTCCCTGGCTTACCAGCCTGCCAGTGTCTGAAAAAGGCCTTGAATTTTGAATGACAATACAGCTGTCTTCTAATTCCTGTTTAATCCCCGTCATGTCCTGCAAGCGATCCCCACAACAATGACACCTGAAAAAGTTCGTAAATGTTGGCTGATGCTTCATGAACTATCTCCAAGTAGCCTTCCTGTTTGGGTTCTCAATTGTTGGCCATATTGGCCGGGGATCTTGCACCATCTGATAGTTTTAACAAACACTCACCGTTTTATGATCTGGTCTCCGAGAAGAAATTACGACCTCCAACAGTCACAAAAAAACACAAAGCAAAATTACTTTACTTCGTGTGATCCCCACCATGACATTTATACATTTTGTTACTGGCAAATCTTCTGGCATTCTATCTGACATATTTTCTGGCATTCTATCTGGCATGTCTTCTGGCATTCTACCTGGCATATCTTCTGGCAGATGTTCTGGCATATCTTCTGGCAGATGTTCTGGCATATCTTCTGGCATATCTTCTGGCATATGTTCTGGCATATCTTCTGGCATTCCATCTGGCATTCTATCTGGCATATCTTCTGGCATATCTTCTGGCATATTATCTGGCAAATCTTCTGGCATTCCATCTGGCATTCTATCTAGCATATCTTCTGGCATATTATCTGGCAAATCTGCTGGCATTCTATCTGGCAAACATTCTGGCACTTTATCTGGCATATCTTCTGGCATTCTATCTGACATTCTTTCTGGCATTCTATCTGGCATACCTTCTGGCATTCTATCTGGCATATCTTCTACCATTCTATCTGGCATATCTTCTGGCACTCTATGTGGCATATCTTTTGGCGTGGATACTCGCGGTTGAGGTCCGGCAGGGAACACTGGGCGTGGATGGTCGTGGTTGAGGTCCGGCAGGGAACACTGGGCGTGGATGGTCGTGGTTGAGGTCCGGCAGGGAACACTGGGCGTGGATGGTCGCGGTTGAGGTCCGGCAGGGAACACTGGGCGTGGATGGTCGCGGTTGAGGTCCGGCAGGGAACACTGGGCGTGGATGGTCGTGGTTGAGGTCCGGCAGAGAACACTGTGGATCGCGGGTCGCAGTTGAGCAAGGACGACGAGGACGACGAGGACGACAAGGACGACAAGGATGACAAGGAGGACGAGGAGGACGAGGAGGAGAGGAGGAGGAGGAGGAGGGACGAGGCAGGAGGCAGGAGGAGGCAACTGACATAAAATCTAACAACCCTCACCTGGCAGGTGGGGAATTTGTCCTGCCAAGCCAAGCTGCATCGAATTTCCGCCTCTTCGCCTGTAGGCTGACCAGCTCCACGCTGATGCCATCAGCCTCACCCGCCATGGCGATTTATGTGGCCCCTGGGCCCCTGGAATCCATTAGCCATTGGCAAAGCCCTTGAATATCAGCTGGAACCTTTGCAGCTCTTTACTATTCCTTACTATTCCTTACTGCCTATGTGTTTGAAGCTGCCCATCATTGAGCTCCAGCTTTGCAAAATGCTTGGATAACCAACGTCCACTGACGGACGCCTCACTGCAAAAGGCTTGATCTGAAAACTCTCAGACAAACACATGCCACTGAAATGTCAGCCACATGAGAAAGGGGCCCTACTTTCCACTACAGTTCCCAATGAATTCTATACTGAAGAGCGTTCGAGGGGATAAGGATCTGCACTAAGTATGGGTATTTCATGAGAAAAAACAAACTTACCTAAACCCAAATTTCGAGGTGCCCCTGTGCTTGGTTTATGCATGTCACTGGGTACCCCCCAAAGCTCACGGATGACAGTTGCGCTGTGTTGGCTACAGACTATGAATCTCCTTGTCACTGGAACATGGACGACAACTTCGAAAAACTTGAACATGTCAAAGTCTAGATCTATGTTTTTTGTCTGTGTTTCCTTCGTCCAACAGTTGTTGATTCTATTCCCAGTTTCAATCTCATCTTCACTGATTGGGTTTATACAAGGGCAACCTTGCAGGAAACGGCAGGGTTGTCTTGTTTTTATCCCCCAGATGTCAATCTTGCAGATGTTCCCAACAAAACAACATTCTGGGACATGCATGTTGGAGCTTCAATAAACCTCTCGGCTGTTTTCAAATAGCATATTGTTACTTTTTAGGTGTACCCTCCTTATGAGTAAGGCAGGCTTTCTTAATCCAGCGTTGCCATTGCCATACATACACTATCAAACGTAGCTATGGAAAATCACCGTGAAAGTCGCAAATAGAGAATCTGCAGACCATTTTCCATAGCTACGTTGCCATTACCATATATCTGGGCAAAGTACAATTCACAACCCTGAAAAAAGGCCCATTTTGGGATAGCTACCGCTACTAATCATCATTCCAGGATTCGATCGTAGTGAGGTCGTTATAGTTTACCCTCTGGTAAACATAAAAAACTATGGAAAAATGGAAAATCACCATTTTATAGCTGGGTAAATCAACGAACTTTCTATTATATGGCCATGTTCAATAGCTTTTTGTATGTTTACCAGATGGTAGTTCTATGATCATCTAGTTGGTACCATTTCTAGTATCACCATTTATCATTTATTATTATCCAATATCATCGCTTAAATCATCTATCATCTATTACCCTCCGTGAAATTAACATAGACCCTGGCAGTCATCGGGGTTGGAAGAATGGTTTCCACTAAAAATTGCTTATTGTCAGGGTCTATGTTAATTTACCAGAGGGTAATCATCGATTAATCATCTATAATCATTTTGATAATCATTAGTCATCTATATTTAATTTTGTATCACTATCATTTATTATAATCCATTAATAATCGATGATCATCAAATACAAAATCCATCAAAATCCCCGCCTCCGAAGAGAGCGGTGACCACCTCAAAATTGGGCTCCACTTTGTGGATGTGATTTGCGGGGCGGGACTGCAAGATATCAATGGATACGAAACTTTATGTTTACATATGTCTATAATATATATATATATATATATCACGCTTTGCAAAGCTGGGTTGGCAGCTGCAAGCTCTTGCATGGCGTGGACTGCGAAACTTAAAGACTCGGCAACCACCACTTCCCGGAGGAAGCCAATCATACCGCAGCCACAGAAAGAAGCGGCAAAGATGCCAACGCACCGGGCACGGCCACCGTGTCCTTTCTCTTTGTGCGTCGAGCAATCATGATTTGGATACCGCCGGGCACGGGGTTGACACTGTGCACGAAGCTGCGACTCCTGTGACCTGAGCGCAAAAGGGAGCCAGACGGAGAAAGACCATGGGCGGAAAAGAGACGTAACAGAAAACGTCGCGTGTCGTTATGTGCAAGTCTAGGACTGCGCCGAGCAGGTGCGGCAAGAGCGACGAACTTTCGCACCACAGATTTGTTTCAGCTGCAAGGTTGGGATTGGCAGAGGTTTCGCCGGTAAGGCTACTTCGCAGACCTGTGTTCGAAAAAGCTTCCAGCCACCATCCAGGATCATGCGATTCGCACATCCGGGTATCCCACAGACAGCTCTGTGTTGGAGGCACCAACACCGTTGAAAGGCATCTATCCATTGGGGTTGCCACAGTTCCAGCTCCGATTCAAAGGCGGCAGCATCGCGCCAATATATTTGCAGCATAGCGGCACCAGAAGCCGGTGTAGCACGGTGCCCATGGAAGTATGGCACGCCTGGGCAAAGCAGGGGTACGCAAAATGCTTGAAAGAAGAACTGCTCAAACACAACTGCGCAAAGTTAAACATGCAAGCAGAGGCGCCAGACAGCGCCAGGAAATCGATGAGAGCAAACAAGAGGTGAGCACGAGTGAAATGATAGACTGTCCAATCAGTGCTCCACTGCATAGTTTGCCAGAATGCGGCATACCCACGCATGAAGCCAAGGTAGGACAAACCATTGCTTGCCTGCAGGCTTTCGTAGTAGCGCACAAGGTCGATGCCGAAAGCAACTTCAGAAAAGCCCGTCTGCAGGCAAAGATACTGGGACGGGTCGCCTGCAAGTTCCATGCGAACCTCATTATGCAAGAGCGGACCAGGGACGACAAAGTTGTGGAAGTACAAAGTTTGGCAGCCGCTGCAGAACAGAGGCACGTGGAGGTACTCGATGGGGCCGTAGTAGTGCGTGAGCACAGTGGTTCGCCACTGCAAGTTTCCTTTGGGAAACAAGGCACGGCGATTCAACGGCAGCACATCAGCATGGGTAAGTCTCCGGAGTGTGGAAACACTGCAGTAAACACAGCGGCGACCTCCCCATTGCAAAGTACGCTCCGCCATGGCGACGGCTAGCGTCGAACGAATGAAGAGGTTGCAAGCTGGGAAGTCTCGAACGAAGATGGCCAGGTCAGAATGGAAACTACTTTTGCAGTCAGTTGTCAATCATCGGACTCGGTTCCTTCCCGCTTGATTGAAAGACGAAGCCAAGATGATCCGAGCCCGTGTTACGGGGAAGGTCGAGACCAGAAGCAAACGGCGGAGCCGTGCGTGTTGGAAAGACGTGGCGGAGCCGGAAAGGTGGTGCTTGGATGGCGGAGCCGTGTATGTTGGAAAGACGTGGCGGAGCCGGAAAGGTGGTGCTTGGCTGGTGGAGCTGTGTATGTTGGGAACAGACACTTGCGGAAGCGGAGCCGCAAAAGTTAGGCTTAGATGGCGGAGCTGTGCGGGTTGGAAAGACGTGGCGGAGCCGGAAAGGTGGTGCTTGGATGGCGGAGCCGTGTCTGTTGGGAACAGAAGGTGGAGCCGGAAAGCCGTTGGATGAAGTGTGAAAAGCAAAACCAAAATCAACCAAAGAAAATACACGGACGACAAAAGGAAGCGAAGACGGTAGGCACAAACATTTGCGGAAGCAAAACATTAGTTGCCAGAAAGAAAACAAAAGTTTGGAAACTATAGTTTTTTCAGCGGAAACAAACGTTTTGCGGAAACGTTTGAAACAGCACGAAAAAACAAACACAGTACCCCAATGGTGGAAAGGTTTATTTTTCCGGAAGAAACCAAAGTTTGCCTAAAGGGTTTGTTTCCAGAGACAAAACAAACTTCGCACAATATACTTTCAAACAAAGGTTTCCAACAAAACAAACAAACAAAACTACCGAAAAAAAGGTTTGTCTTGGAGAGTTTCAAACTAGTTCGGTGGAAGTTTGTTTCAAGGTTTCGGTTTAAAAACAAAGGTTGTGGAAAAAGGTTTGTTTGCGACGAGAAAACAATTCTTTTCGATCAAAAACTTTAGTTTCCACAGGAAAAACCTTGGTTTTCAATGAGGTTTCCAGCCGTGCCAAATTGGCAGCAAACGTTAGTTTCGACTGCAGAAACAAACCTTTTCTTGTGCCGCTGAACGTTTGTTTCCTATCATGAAACTGAGGTTTTGCAACGGGGAACGTTTGTTTTTACTGGAAAACAAACTCTTGGGCGCAACCCTACTGGAGAGAGAGGGGAAAGGGGTCAGCCCATACATGTTCCACAAGTTCAGCCAACTCGGCCCCACAATAGGCTTGTTAGGGAAACAACTGTTTAGATACTGTTATATAATGTAATGAAACTAATGCCGGCTGGTGATAGTAACGATGATAGTTACTCATGATTTGAATTACTGGTGATAGCCACCCATGAGAGTAGGGATGGTTTATGCGAAGTAATGATCATGTCAACTACCATAAAATCACCAGAAGAACTCACCATCTTTGCTCAAGTGGATAGAAACTGGCTAAAACACCAATCTGAGTGGGTTTGCCAGAAAATATGGTATTCCAAAACTTGATGGTTTGAAATCGATGTTTCTCTTAAGGCTACCATAAATCAGGGATCATCGGGGTTTTCCGTTCCCAAACAACAGCATATCATGTTGTTGAAGATATTTTCCGTACATATGGCAGTGTGTCAAAACCTTGTACCCCTGGTGAACATCAAAATAGCTGGTAAATGGATGTTCATCCCCTAATAAACTGTATCTATAGGTATTGATCCATACCCATATCTTGTCCCAGATCCCGTTATACCTGACTACATCTCATCGCGATCATCTCCGATCTCCAAGAATCTCTGATAAAAAAATCCCAACAGATGATGTCATCGTTCAGGTGGTAAAATGCAAGTGGTTTGAATACCCTCTGGTAATTTAACATAGCTATTGAAAATGGCCATTTATAGTGGATTTTCCCATGAAAAATGGTGATTTTCCATAGCTATGTTAGTTTACCAGAGGGTAAACGAAATCATTGAAACCTACATTGAGCCTATAACCATCATGTGAAGAAAAGAAATGACAAGGAACACCTAGAGAACGCGTTGTCAAGAGAAAACAACGTATCCAAAGAAATGGATATCAAGAACAAGGTGCAAGGAGAATGAGTTGTTTAGACAAGGAACCCCACATCTATAGGTCCATCGATCCCTTAAATTTGTGGTTGCTTATCTATCTCAGTTAACTCTCCCAGGACATGTCCTTTAGTTAACTCTCCCACATCTCACATCAAACATGCCTTTTTATATACCATCTGGTTATTTAACAGTTCGCCATGGAAAGATCCACCCATTTTATAGCTAGGTAAACCATCTATTTCGATTAGGGCCATGGCAAAAAACCATGGCAAACTGTTAGTCATAACCAGAGGGTATTGTTTTTTTCATGTTATCTTTGTCATCCCTGGGTCCCTGGGTGTTGATATCAGTTGATCCTGGAAATGTCCATGCCAACATCCCGCGAATCCCATGAACATGTTTGAGATGTTCCCAGTGAATGAATGTGTTGGAAAAGTAGACCGGATGATGTTTGTTTGGTATTCATATGTATTCATGGCCTATAAGATTGAAGTATCTAGAGGTTCCCTATTCCTGGCCTATGGATGTAACATGTTCAATAATCTGAAGTAAACCATGGTATTCCGGTGATATCTTTGTTCATATCTAAACCATCGAAAAGTAAACCTCAAAGATTTCATGGCACAAAATCCAAAAACATCACGTCAATATTCCCACTTGGTGGCTCATCCCACGAATCGTAAGTCAGTTATATCCCAGTTATAAGTGGATTAACCCTACTTATCTCACGAACATAACCAGGGATATAACCTACTTAAGTATTTAAGTGGAGGTTTCCTAAAATAGGGCTACTCCCAATCATCATCCATGTTATTTTCAGATTTTCCATGAAATAAATCATCCAGCGAGCTTGGGCTAACCCCCATTGATGCCGCGTCACTGAGATGATCCATGCGCTGTTGAGCCCGACATCCGGCGGCAGCCCAGCGGCCAGGGCGAAGGCCACGGCTTCTGGGACCAGTGCCAACGCCACGGTGAGACCGCAGAGAAACCTGAAAAAAATGGCGGAGCTCCCCGGGTCCAATGGGATTTTCATGGAATATCTAATCGGATGTAGAACCAACCATGGGATATATTGAGTTTTTTGTTTAAACCAGGATATGTATATCATTGAAACATGATGACATGATGCGTATATCTATACATATATGTATATATATATATGTATATATATATATTATATATATGTGTATGATTCATGGATATTATCAGGATATTCTTAAGTCTTAAGTGATAATTATATCTAATTATCTGATACAAGCCGAAATGCTGGGAACATTGATGGACCTTTTAGGGGTATATTCTATCAACTGTCTAACCACCATGGTAAGGCCACCTACGTGGAGGATATTTCACCCAGTTACAAATGGAATATGACCCTCCTTGGGGGATTTCATAACCAGGGACTTAGATGTATATCAACCATTGGTAAAAAAATATATGCATATATGGCATATACTGCTAGTACAGTTTAGGGGTAGCGTGAGTACACTGTATATATCAACTCTACTCTGGTACTTGGAGAATCATCCCCCTTAGCAGGTTACTAAGCCGCTTGTGGTCGTTGTCAGTCCCCGATACGAATCGGGTTATTCCATTAGTGGGTGAACTGACCCCACTTACTAACCAGTTATTATACACCCTCTAGTCAACTAACATCAACTAACATAACTATGGAAAATCACAATTTTCAAGGGGTAAATCCACTATAAATGGATGGAAAATCACCATTTTCAACGGGTAAATCCGCTATTTCTACGGCCATTGTCAAGTTCGCAAAGTGTAACAAATTACCAGAGGGTAAGTAGGATGATCCTCCAGGTACTGCCGCACTTCCCGAAACATCATTTTTGTTGGTTGCTGCATCCCCCAACGTTCATCAAAGTGGTCCATTTTTGTGGATTTGTGCAGGTTTTTGCAAGGTTTATGGCAAAATGGTGGTATTTTATCGAGCTTTGTGGTGGTTTTTATGGTGGATTTTTCGTAGTTGTAATTAATGGGATGTCAGCCATAGTGTTTTTTGTATAGATTGAGTTGGATCCCATGGGATATATAACCAGCAATGTGACCGTCGAGTTTTTATTTACCAGGATATGAATATCATTGAAACATGATGTCTATGTATATATATATACATAAGTACATAATTCATGGATACTATTGAATTATTGGGATAGTCTCAGGTGACCATTGATAATCATGTGATACAATGATACAACCCAAAGTCTTGGGAGTTTATGTGGATGAATGGAGGATTCTTACAATACCAAGTTAGGATTTCCAACCATAATCGGATATGTTTTTTCCGGGGTTGATTGGCTCTAATGATGATTAAATGTGAATAGATGTGCCAGTCATGCTTTTAGTCAGGCTCCAGGAGGCACATATAGTGTGGGTCTTCCAAGTTCTGGAATTTTAGAGGGTTCAATGGAGTTTTGAGGGTTTACAAATGGCTTTGTGATGGATATATCTGGGCTGATGGGGTTTTAATGGGATATGTTTAGATATTTCATGGGCGTTTATTGGGTCTAATGGTGGTGTACTGTCATATATATATATATATACACACATTCTGTGTTCCATGGCCAGGCTCGATTACCAGAGGATGCATTTTTCGTCCCTTTTCCCAACTGAGCGCTGAAAACCAAGCAGCTCCAGTCTCAGATTGCCCAACTTCGAGCGCCAGCCTGAGGGCTTCTGCATGTCATCATCACTCTCACTGGAGTCCGACATGGCGACGCGTTGAAGGTGAGCCCGGCTCAGTTCGAATGCGTCTGTCCTGAAATTGATTTGCGATGTGCGACTTTTTAACATGACCTGTCATATATGAAGAATTGGAGATCGTCAGAAAAATCGGACCTGACCTGAATTTTCATCACTTTACAAATTGTGTTTCATGGTTCCTCTTTCAATTTCAAAGTTGATTTGTTCGAGGAGTATCATAGAATTCTTGCAGTTTTGGTTTGTGCCTTTTTCTTGCGATGCTTTCATGCTCGACATCGACAAGTTCGCCATGCACCATCCAAATCATCCAAATCATCCAAGCTGATATACCAACAGTTGTCACTCAAAGCCAACCATGAACAATTTACCTCACCTATTTTGCGAGGCTACGGTCTGACCTGACGTGGCATGTGAAACATGACTCCGTATACAGATTCCCCGATTCCCCAGTCCTGATTTCTCACTGGGATCATCACCTATAACCTACATTATATCTATATCTATACCCATAGGATCCATGTATGGTATATATGCTAACATTGGGGGTATATTGATGGTAAATGTTACCATATATGGCATACATGGATCCTATGAGATATATATATATATATTATGTGTGTGTGTGAGTGGAACATGCCCCCAGTTATACACACATATAGTTCAACAATGTTCAACAACACCCCTAGATACTTTAGATGCCCGGGAGCCGCACCCGGTTCTTTTTCAGGAGCGATACCTTGAGGTATGGCCTGAAACTGATGTGAAACTGGCGACAAATCGAGCACGTCCTTCGGACCCGACTGTGCTGATGACATCAGCGCATCATCAAATAATATGATAATATGATGAATATATTAAATATATTATATACATGACTACGAATTTTAGGTTGCTGGCTGGGCCACTCATCCCAAAAAATATATATCTTAAAAAACAAATTTTGGTATACCCTCTGGTAATTTAACAGTTTGCTATTGAAAATGGCCTTTGAAATAGTGGATTTTATTATATGATAATGGTGGATCTTTCCATAGTTATGTAAACGTTTACCAGAGGGATCCAGAGGGTACAGTATATACAGTGTACTCACTATTTCTATGGCTAAATCCACTATTTCGACTGGGCCATTTTCCATAGCTATGTTCGTTTACCAGAGGGTATCTGAATGATGTTCCAACATTTTTTTTCATGCCAACACGTCCCCACAGTCGGCCGATCCGTCGCCAGATCGGCAAGAAGACTCCATTTTTACAGCCAGGCGGCGTCAAGCACTTGGCTTTTCTTTCCCGGGGTTTATTGTGATTTTTCCACAAATTTTGGATGGAATGCACATATATATTATATATACATATGTATATGTATATATTATATGTATATATTTATATATATATGATTATATACTGTAATGCACATATATATATATATAATTTATAATTATATGTTTTTGGAGTTCAAGGTCCGCATTGTGCTGGCATCATGTGTGATGTGGGGGGTTCCTGAAATGGAAATGGGGGTCATCCACGACTTGGATCGTGGAGGGGTACCTCCTAGGGTCCATTGGAAACCTCTAGGACCGTTGTGCTCCAATAGCCTCTGAGAAGGTGTTGAAGCGCCAAAAACCAACCCAAAATACAGTGTCAGAGGGTGCTTGGAGGCCTAAGGTCCATAAGTTATTGCCATTCATTGAGGAGTATAACATAGTATAACTTACTACGATGGAATTTCATATGATTCCCTATTGTTACACCCATCTAATTCATTGTTACCTTCCCAAGCTGCGGCCATCGGTGCCATGTCTGAAATGGGTCAAATCATGTCGAATCCTAAACTTAAAGTCATGGACATCAGAAGATATGATCGTGTTTCGTAGGTGATCTATTGTGTGTTTCAATATCTATCATAAATATGTATGAATATGTATGCGATCAACACTTAAAATTTCTTTCACAAGATCCCATATATGATCCAATAAATATTGCAATGTTTATGACTGCACTATGAGATCCACCCTTTATGTTGCAGCCTTTTGGAGTCTTGACATATCTTGACATGCCACTTGGCAAAGGATCCAGTGTCCACCATCCATAAAAACAAAACTGGATCTACGCCCAGGCACTGGGATAGTGACATCGCAGGCACCAAACTACAATCGACACCATGGTTTTTCTGAACGTTCATGGAGTTTCCATGGTCGAAAAAAGGGGTACCCATCTTTATGTGTGATGGTCATAAACCAATTTAGCGTCCATGAAAAATTGTCATAAATCAGGCGTTTAAATGATTTCAATTCACTAAACTCTTTTCTGTTTCTGTGTTTGGATTCCTCCAAAATCCGGTTTCCTGCCGGTTTCCTGTTATGTTTGGATCAGAAATCGGCACATTCCGGGGGTTGTTCCTCATCTCCTGGCCATATTCCCACAACAAACTCCAATCAAACAAAAAAAACATGGTTCTCCGTTCTCTCGTTTAGATACCATTGGAATAACCATTAGAAATATAGGTATCCATATTCCATATTCCATATTCCAAACCATGTTCAAATAGGATACCATCGGAATGTCCGAATCTGGACCGTAGTTCAGCAACGAAAACTCCCTGCGGTTCTATGCGTTCACGTTGTTGGTCTCATTGGTTGGCTCATTGCTAGGTTCCGGCTCCTGAATCGCCACGGAAGCCCGTGATTCGACAAGATAGTATCTAGAGGACCAACATTTCTACATTTTCTTGTTGGCAAAGAATGTTCTTTTTTTCAGGATATCATTTTTTCGATATGCATATATACATATATATATATATACAGATTCAATTGGGTATTTTTGAGAATAATTTCTGAGATATGCTGGGATATTCTGGTAACCAAAAACATGCCCTATAAACATGCCACGGTCAAGCTACGTGGGAGTATTCTGGTATGGTCAGACCCATCCCAGGATACGCAAATGCAAACATAATGCCAATGGATTGGTTTTAGGGAAAATCTACAGGAAACCATGGTTTTTACCATCAAATATAGGGCTTTCCTGTAAATTTTCCCATCTTCCAATTCTATGATAATGTGTATATAAGCTCCTATTGATACGGAAACTTGCAATTTTAAGGGATATCCTGGACTCTATAGACAAACCCAGAAGATTTGAAGGATGTGTCCTGCATATTTTTCCTGCCAATTCTGGGAAACTTCCTTATCTAAATATACTGATGCTGAAAAAAATAGCTCCAAATGAGACATTCACGACTCTTCTAGGATGGGGTTTCAAAAGTGCAAAAGTTGACAACCTTTTTTCGTCACTCAAGCAGCTGCCCAACAATTGGGGTCGAAACCACATGAGTTTGATGGCATATTTGAAGACAGGGGAAACCTCACACTTGGTTGTAGTATGGTTGCAATCTGCAAACATGTTCGGGCAACCATTCACACAAATCTGGGATATTGACTGGCTAAGGATACCAGCCATCCACATTGGCGATAAATCGGTACATCAATGATCAATCATCCTTGATGGCCCACAGGATGGGGGCCCCCAGTTATAAGTTGGTTTATAAACTATTATAACCCACATTAACTATAGTTATATCTACCATAAACCATAGTTAAACCACTTAGAAGGCAACTGAACGCTATCTTGGGGCCCATCCTGCAGATTCTGCAACTGAGAAAAAAGGGTCTTAATCCATCACAAAATGCAGAATAATGAAGACGTAATCAACAACAATTGCGATATAGCCCAGCCACAAACTGAGGAAATTATGGCATCAAGCAGGTCGCCCAAATTTCGACTCAGATGGTGTGTTCTAACATGTTTTGGATATGGATTGTGCAACACAAAATGAGTGCACAAACAACACGACAATAAGCACAACTGAGAACCAGCAGTCATGAGAATAAATATATGGAGGTCTGTTAAAATGGTGGATCCCCAAGTCACCATGGGGTTCAATACTAAAATGGTCATCCATGACCTGGATGATAGCCCCATGATTTCCATATCCCCGTGTTTGACAATTGTAAGTTATAAGTGTTTATCATTCCCATAGTGTCGCTGAATCTCACTGACAATTATAAATTGTATCATTCCCTTTAAGTTCCAATGGGTCTATATTTCAATGTTCAATTTTAGATTATGACCATATTGTCAAATATTCCCATGGTTATATAACCCAAAAGACCACTTTATATATATATATATATATATATATTCCAACCACTTTTCTTGGTTTTTATATTTCTTTTGGTTATAATTACCCATATTTCAACCCAAAATGTTCCGCTGTTCCAACCCATCACTGGCTGCGAAAACGTCGACGTTTGGTCCTTCACTTCCCCCGGTTGGATCGACCGGGAGCCGCCCCGGCCCAAGATCTTGCTGGCGCCACGCTGCATGCGAACTTTGTTGCTGGGCCGTTCATACCTGCGAGGAAAAAAACAATGGGATGCTTATCTGAAAAAAAAAATAAGGATGTGTAATTAATATATATATATATAAATATATATGTATATCAATATATATATATATATATATATATATATATATATATATTAATATATATATATATATATATATGTGACGCAGCCTACCAGGTCCCCCCCCCCTCCCCCCAATGGATATGGGTATACAGGAGCTATGTTCCCCGCCCACCCCCCCTGTGGGTGGGTAGGGGGTGGGGGGTTAGTAGTAGTTAGTAGTAGTGAGTAGCAGTTAGTAGTAGGAATGGGTATGGATATACAGGAGCTATGTTCCCCGCCCCGGGTAGGGGGGTGGGGGGGGTTAGTAGTAGTTAGTAGTAGTTAGTAGTAGGGATGGGTATGGATATACAGGAGCTATGTTCCCCGCCCCCCCTCTACTGTGGTGGTGGTGTGGTACTGCGTATATATATATAATTATATATATGCTTATGTATATATATATATACATATGTGAATATATGTATGTATATATATATATGTATAGACATATATATATTTATTTATTTATTTATTTTAAATACGAATATGAATATATATATATACATATGTATGTATCTATAACATGTAAATATATATATAGGAAGTAGATACATAGCACATGTATATATATCTATAGATAGCACGTAGGTACTTTGAGGGAGTATGTGTGCTACGCAGGTCGTCCGAAGGGTAGCATGTACCTAGTAAATACGAGGCTGGACCTCAGAAATGCTGCCAATAGCTTGCAAATAGAAGGGAAGTGGGGGTGCTACCTGGGGACCCATCCCATTCGGAGGGGGGGGGGGACCTCGCGGGCGGAGGACGGGATCATAAATGTATACAATTATATGTATATATATATATTATACATATATATATACTATAAATATTATACATATATATATATATATCATAATTACAGTAGATTGTAAAAGCACAATGTACACATCATCTATATGCAAGTGTGGAATATGTTGTAAATATGTATACAACCATATCATATATTTGTAAAATTGGTTTTCAGTCGGGAATTAACTCAGCCGCGCTGCTTGGGGATCTTGATGGTTGTGGCGATGAGGCAGCAACAACCCATGATTCGAATGAACCAAAAGAAGCCACCGCAGAAGAGGAATCCATAGAAACCTCGGTTTTTCAGGGTTGCTCCAAACACCCCAGGTACGTTTGGAGAAGTAAATTGGGTAAGCATAGAGGCAAAATGACGAATTGACCCCCCTAATGTGGCTATAAACCTACAATAGGTTGGAGCAACCTCTGTTTTCGTTGAGAGGAAATTTGACCAGTGTCGGCTAACCCATGTTAAACCTGTTCGAACACCCCAATTTCTCATGGTTGGCATTCATGGGAAATAGATTCCCAGACTCAATGGCTTCCAAATTAACACAGTGTTAATCCCTAATCAAAGTCAAGGGTAGTAGTATAGCAAAAAAACATCCCATCTGTTTTTTTAATGTTTAAACTGGTCCATTGTAAAATGGTTACCTGGAAAAGAACACAGGTTAGTGGGAGGTAATGGTCGACTTGGACCAAACACACCTGGCTGGAGTGAGGTCCTCTGTCAGGTCATGCGTAAAAGTCGGGTGGTGTCTTTTTTCTATTCCCACCCCAATGTTTGCAAATCCATGGTAAGCAAAGTGGGCACTGGATGGCGTCAATCCTTCTTGTTGAAAACTTATGAAAACTTCCATCATCAGTGTTGTTATTGAATCACCATCATTGCTTTACAAGATTTGGCAGTGTGTCAAAACCTTGTACCCCTTCTGTTCACATCAAAATAGCTGGGATTTATGGATGTTCATCCCCCTAAAAATGGTATTAATAGGTATTGATCCATACCCATTTCTTGGAGACTGAACAAAGGCGAACAGAAATCATCAATTTCTGGTTCGATCTATTGTCGTGCAAGAAAAATTGGCTCGTGCAAAAACCAACCGGGACGGAAGGTTCTTTTATTTAACATATAATACATATGTTTCAAATAAGTCCTGCAATTTTATCTTATATATGACATTGCCAATCTTAGATACCTGGCATTTTTTTAAGCTGGTGAGTAGATATTCCCATAGCAAGAGATTAAAGGATTCTCAAGTACCCATCGTTGACCTAGATTTTACCCTCCGGTAAACTAACACAACTATAAAAATCACCATGTTTCATGGGAAAACTCACTATTTCTATGGCCATGTTTAATAGCTTTTTGTATGTTTACCAGATATATCTCCCAGCAAATAGATATATCTAGATATTCCATATCTTTTCATATATTCTCAAGTACCCATCGTTGACCTAGATTTCAGCATTTCTTAGCATTCTGCAATATTCTGCATGTCTTGTACACATCTTCTGGTCAAGTCCGTGAGGTCTTTTGCCCCCAAGTTAGCCAACCTGTGTTGCCGTGGTGCCTAAAATCCATGGGAGAATCAGAATAATGTCCCTATCAAAATGGCAATTTGAGGGGGGTTAATTATTTACCATCTGGTTATTTAACATAGCCATGGAAAGATCCACCATTTTTAAGTTCGGTAAACCATCTATTTCTATGGGCCATCTATACCATGGCTATGTTAGTCAGAACCAGATGGAACAAAAAAACATCTTCAGGCAGGCTCAGATGTTTTGAAGGGCTGCGCTTGGGCCCAGACCGTATGTCAAGACCAAGAACGGCAGCAAAATGAGACCTGCCAATTTCTGGCCACGGATGATCATTGAACTATATTGTTATGTTGAAAATGGGCACAATCTGTTGAACTATATTGATATATGTTGAACCATATATTGACATAGGCATCATGGACCCATCTTTGGTGTCTGTTGGATCTTCATGGCTATCAATCTACTGTTGTTGGTAATTTTTTTTGCACCTTCTTTTTGCTAGCGAATCCGCATGGTGATGTTGAAAATTATTGCTGTTCCACAACTCGAACACTTCGAACGTTTGACAAACCGGTTTTCTTTCTACCAGCCCGGCTGTTCTGCCGGCGACCTTCCCATATGGATCTCGTACAGATACCTCTCAACATTCCCATCCTACGTTGAATCCCGAGTTTTTGATGCAACAACACCCCGTTACATTTCGCGGTTGAATCCTTACGTTTGTGACTCAAATCACAAAGGTGATCCTTTTGGGGCAGAAATCCAGTCCCTTTTCTCTGAAAGACCTGGAACTTTAATGGATTCTTTTGGGAAAATGTGCCCCATATGGGAGAATCGGATCGAATGCTTTTGATGAATAGATTCTTAATGGCTTTTTCTTGGACCCCATGGTACCAAAAATATCAGGTACATGGTCTCTCCCTTGAATCCTTCATTCGGGGATTGTTGGTTTCAAAACACCCAAATAATACTGCTTGGTGGTGCAATAACCATCTTGAAACGTATGAAAGTCAATGGGAAGGATAATCCTATATATTATGGACAATAAAAAATGTTTGAAACCACCAACCAGAATATATAATGGTTGTGTTTGCAGATCATCATAACTCATGCCGTTCCATAACCGCTGTGTTTTGTTTGTTCCCATCCAAATCTGATGTTTGATCCTCATGGTCCCCTCTATTCAATGGCCGCACACTGTAAATTGAATCTAAAGGAAATAACTATTCAAAACGACCACTCTGCCAGGGTACTGACTGCTTTCAAATCACCGGACAAAATATGAACGGTCATGCATGTGTTCTAATCCTGCAACCAATTTGAGGGACAACCACCAGAGTCTGATGCCCAGACAGAAATCTGAAACATCATTTTCATTCATTTTCTCATCAAGATGATGTACCATCATTTGGGTATGAGTCAAAACCTTGGTACCCTAGTGAACCCCAAATAACTGGTAAATGGATGTTCATCCTCCCAAATATAGCAAGATTGGTTTTGATACATCCCCATTTGGAGTAAAACCCCAAACAGTTTGGACAAACAGTCCCCTGTTTTTCAAGATGAAATTCAGTCGTTGGACCTCCAACATCCAACGGTGATCTTACTTCCGATGGAGCACCCAGCGGTATCATTTAAGGTTTCGTTTCACCCGTCCAACTGCGGGGATATATCTATATATATATATCTAATATAATACCCTCTGGTAAACTAACATAACTATGGGAAATCACCATGTTTATTGGGAAAACTCACTATTTTGATGGCCATTTTCAATAGCTATGTAACAAATTATCAGAGGGTATATGTACTCATGTATAAAAGCTTTATCCGCTTTATAAAAGCCTCAGTTGTATACCAACTTACCCACTTTAAAAATATTGAAATTGCATGTGAACAATGACATGTTTTTGTTAAGTCATAAAGCTTTTTGTTAAACACTACAATTTCCTTAGTATATCCCATCATTCCATCATATTTCCCGATAAACACCAGATTAAGTGTTTTGAAAAATTAAAACACACATTGAGACGAGTAACACCACCAAAAAAAAACATGAAACCCCAGCAAATCGCAGTTTACTATAACCTCTGGTAATTTCACACAATGGAAAATCATCATGCGACTGAAAACGGTTGGTGATCTCCAAATGGCGTCACTTTCCATAGCTTTTTTTGTTTTCCCTCTGGTAATTTTTCACAGTTCGACTCCGAAGATTTGCAATTTTTAGTGGTTGAAACCTATGTTTCACTAATCTTCCAAACCCAAGTCATGCCAGGGTCGTCATGTTAATTTACTGGAGGCTTATTTATATAATTACACCAGACATCAGTAGCCCCAAAAGATAGAACAGCTTGCATTTACCATCATTCACTATCGATGCTCCATGGTGCTGGACTATGAACCTACAAAACTGGGCCCAAAAAAAAGGGGTAAATGTAGGTAAATATTCCAGCACCATGGAGAATCTGGGTATAGAAAATGACCAATTCATAGACAATTTACCAATTATAGATAGTCGATTTTGGGGAGAATAAAAAAAATCTGGTTAAAACAATGCCATAAACCACCCATTTGGGAATGGTGTATACCACCTATTTATGTTGATTTGGGGATGGGTCAAAACCCTATCCCCCTGTAGTTCACATCAAAATAGCTGGGATTTATGGATGTTCATCCCCCTAAAAATGGTATTAATAGGTATTGATCCATAGCCATTTTACCTTTTCAATCAGTGCACGGTGCCGTTTCGTTTCCGGCACCTCCGCACCAGGAAGCCACTGAGGCAACCAGCAAGGCATCGCCCGCCTGGGAACGACGCGAATCGGAGCCGCGGCGGAATGATGGCAAAGACCGTGGCAAGAAATGGGGAGAAAAGATGGACAAATTGGGGAAAATGGTGGAAACATTAGGGAAAAATCTGGAAAATGAATGAACATGATGGAAACAAGAGAACAAAAAGATGGAACACATGGGGAAAGTCCAGCAAAACATATGTAAACATGAGGGAAATGACGTGAAATTCCAACAAACACATTGGAATACATGAGGGAGACATCTTGAAATTTTGAGGGAAATGCAGTGAACATATACTATTTTTAGGCAACTTAGGAGATGGATGCATGTTTCATGTTTCAGGGAAACGTATGGAAACTTGTCTAGGGAAATGATGGAAACATCAGTGACACAAATGATGCGTTAATTTGTGTATTTTATGGGAAATTAAGTATAAAACAATTGGGTTTGGGAGTATATTTTTGGGGGTTGTTGCAGGGTGGTTGTTTTAGCCTAATTATATAGAACGGTTGTGGTGCTGCTGTTTCTTCTTTTTCTACCAGCGACATTTAAGCATGAAAACCACATCAAAAGCTGGGATATTCGATGATTTTTGGGTCTCAAGACAACAACAAATGGGAATACCCAAAGAATTATGTATTGCAGTAACAGGTTTCGAATGGAACACACAACAAATAATGAAAAACAAAAAGAGATCGCAACACCGGCAGAAAACACAAAACAAAAAACAAGAACAAAAACAGCAATGGAAAACATGATGATTTTAACAAAAAAAAGGTATAGAGAAAATCGGTCAAAGTATCTGAAAGCTGACTTTCCCATACTTTTGGATGAATATCCAGAAGTAGCAGCCCCTGCGGCCCTGCGCTTTCCCTTCCGTCCGCCTCATCGGCTTTGAAAAACAAACAGCTGCAGAAGCACTCCGCGAAGATAAAGGCGATTAGACCTGGCAAGCCAAGGGGATCATGCAGATCATGAGGTCAACATATTTGAACATGTTTTAACCAGATGGACCATATTAGGATCCATATGGATCCATATACCATCCATATACATCATATATCATCATATAGTATAATCATATACTGACTCGATATGATTGGATTGTGTTCTCTGGAAAAGCCATGGAGTTTAGGGTCCCCATGATCAGGTCCAGGCTGCATCCCATTACCTTTGAGGATCTTGGTTCGGCTATTCAGAGCTCAGCAAGGCTATTTGCAGCAACGGTAGATTCGAAGCGTCGGAAGTTTGCCTCCAATATGCCCCTCGTAGAAGAGATCGCGAGTCCTTGGGACTTGGAACTGAACTTCGAAACGATGGGAGCATTGCATGATGCATTCTGGATGGGAAAGTCATGTTGGAAACAGAGTCTGGGCGTCCCAAAATGACCTTCGCAGTTGACTTAATTCAGCAAGACTCAAATAAGTCTTTGAGTTTGACTGACTTTGCGGGACTCCAAATATCTCCAAATTCTCCGAAACTCCCGAGTTTTTTACGACCAATGCACTCACAACACCTGCCAGGCAAGACACTTTGGTAGTTCCCATTCATCGCAAAGCCTGGACCGAAGCCGGGCTTTGGCTTATGGCTATGGCCATGGCTCAAAATGAATTGGAAGGATCCCCCCCAAAAAAATGAAGGTTTCAATACCAAACTTAGACTGAGACGATTTGGAGGTTTCCATAAATATGGGTATCCCAATAGCTGGATGGTTCATAATGGAAAATCCATCTATAAATGGATGTAAACTGGGGGTACCCCCATGACTTCGGAAACCTACATTTGAACATGACCATGTTTGGTCCCGGCTGGCAACTCACATTTTGACATATCCCGTATCCCATCCAACTTCCCTAGAGGGGACGCTTTTTAGCCGCCACCGTTGATATCATGACATGGGTGTGTCTAAAAATGGGGGCGGAACGGCGGAACCCACTTTTATGGCTGTTCATAGTATGTCATAGGGACATTTTGATTAACCACTGGATTTGACGATATATTGTTTTTTCAGACAAAACCACATATGGGGATGGGTCAAAACCCTGGTACCTAGTGAACCCCAAAATAGCTGGTAAATGGATGTTCATCCCCCTAAAAATTGTATTAATAGGTATTGATCCATACCCATATCAACTTTCAAACACTCCTTCTCCTGATATATCTTGTCCACCTGGGTCTGGGTCAAAGTTATACCCCAGAGGAAGGTTCTGCAAGTAGCACTTACAATGACCCAAGTTTCATGACTCATGAAATTCCCCCAAATTGTTTACTCTCCGATAAATTTATCATAGCTATGGAAAATGTCCACTTTCTTATTGTTTTACCATGATTTACCCAAAATGTTGCTTGGTTTTACGTATCTATGTTAAATTACCAGATGGCAAAAAGCGGTCCCACTGGGGGGCCAGGCCAAACAGCATCTTGCGATTGGCAACCACTCGGTGGACAAAAGCACTTCGACCACTCGACCTCGAAAAATGGCGCCGCGCGGTGGCCTCCATGGAACCTCAAAACGACCTCTTCGGAGTTTTCAGCAAAAGGCCACGGGTCACAGACATATACAATAGTAATCAACAGTATATAATTAAACTGAAATGTCTTTGTCTCAAACTGTCCCCAAGATCCCATTGTTGATTGTCATTCTCCCTGTTTTTCACACAATTTTGGGATAACCCCCCTGGTTCAAAACAACACCTGATAGTTCGATACCCGCAAAAATATCCCCAGTCACGGTACGAAGCGTTACGCATGTCCGGTGCATCCACGGTCTCCCTTGAAAGATCTGAAACCACGACGCGCACCTCTTCTAAGGATTCAATATCTCCTTCCTCAGCAGTCAAGATCTCATATCTGGTCATGGAAGAACCAAAAAACAACATATAAACAACTATATATAGCACCCGCCAAAAAGATAGAACAGTTGGAAGATGTTGGAAGCCTGGAAGTAATGGGGAAAACATCATCGACATACCATCCTGGAAACACTGTTCGGCATCTTTCTGGGTACTGTAAAACATATTCGGTATTGCCCAGGTCAATCCCAAACAAAGTCGGATCTTGGGTTGGATGATGCTCTTTCACCTTGCCCTTTCTATGGCAGTTATTTAGGGTGACATGGTTTTGCTTTGGGAAAGAGGACAAGTCACAAACAAAACTATATACAGTTGTTACCCCTCTGTACAACCCCATTAATCTAGGTAAATTGTAATAATTCACCAACCTGAAATGTTCGGCTATAAGGGGATAATTCCCCGAATCCTAACCATGATTATAGTGAGGGAGAACAGTGAGGTCACTATATATAATTTACCCAGATTCATCTTTTGAAGAGTCTCGGAACTAATAAACTTCTTCGCCAAACTGATGCAGCCAATCATTGTGGGTCATTGGGAACAGTATTACCTCCAGCCAACTGCCAGTCAAGAGTGAGATGTCACCCATTGTCACCCAATTGATTTTTCTGGTATAGAATGACTAGCAGTTTGCAAACTGGAAAATCGCCATCGACAATCATCGACATAGCTAAATAGGGACAGTTTATCAGAGAGTATCACTCCCAGACGCTCCATGTGTGGAATATTTACCTACACTTGGTTGATTTTTGGGGTAAATGTATGTACCCTCTGGTGAACTAACATAGCAATGGAAAATCACCATTCTTAATGGGAAAATCCACTATAAATAGCCATTTTCCATTGCTATGTTAGTTCACCAGAGGGTAAATCTTCCAGCACCATGGAGCATCTGGGGCAGAAACGCTAGTCATAGCCAGGCATCCCAAGATTGACAGTTGCCATCGATGTCATAGCCGGTACCTGGTGACGCCGTGACGCCGTGATCGATCGACGAAGGACCATGGAAAAAAACGATCGAAACGCAAAGAAGAACATGTTTTTATAGTGAGTTTATCGAGGCTACTCTGAATAACCTGGAATATCCGTTTAAGATACTGGTTGGTGGTATACCTACCCCTCTGAAAAATGATGGAGTTCGTCAGTTGGGATTATTATTCCCAATATAGGGAAAAATAATGAAAAATAAAAGTCGTGTTCCAAACCACCAAGCAGACTTCCTATCACTGCTAATATGGTGCATAGTCGCCAAACAGAGGCACGGCAAATCCAAAAATCCCCAGGGGACCACCACTTTGTGTCAATAACCATGTTAAAGCCCCGTTGTTCATGGTCAAGAACCATGCTAAATCTCATTTTTTTGCTAATTTAGCCTCCTGTAAACTGACATAGATGTGGAAAATCATCATGTTTTATAGGATTTTATAGATAAATCATCTATAAATGGACCATTTTCCACATTTATGCCAATTTATGCTAGTTTGCCCCAGGGTAATCCAGTTTTTTCACTCCACTTCATCGGCCAGTCATGGCCACTTCATCGGCCAAGCGACAGCGGTAGGACTCAAACTCCACCCCCAGGGTGTACCTTGGAGTGGTGGATTAAGTCCCACAAAAGCTGGAAAAGTCATGTATCCCTATTTTAGTGACATTTTGTTTACCCTCCTGGTTGTGACTAACAGTTTGCTATTGCAAATGGCCCAGTCGAAATAGTTGATTTTCCCATTGATTGAAAATGGTGATTTTCCATCGTTTTTTTGTATGTTTACCAGAGGGTACTCTTCTACCATTCTACCTGTAATATCCCTTTAAGATACTGGTTGGTGGTATACCTACCCCTCTGAAAAATATGAGTTCGTCAGTTGGGATTATTGTTCCCAATATATGGAAAAATAAAAAATGTTCCAAACCTATATATATATCATTATATATCTTTAGCACATCCAAGCGTACTGATCGATGCTCTGCTTGGTTCGGAAGAGGACACTGAAGAGCCCCACGTCGCGCTCCTGTCCAGCCGTTAGAAAATGTCTGACTGGGCCTCCAAGATGATTTCGCTATGAGACGCTTCTATGCTAATAAAGGTGGCTGCTACAGAGGGAAGGGAGAACTACTATATCTATTATTTTATCATTTATGTATGTTTATATATATACAGATATGATATGCATCAAGTTTCACTTCAGGTATGTTTCTGCTGTACTGAACATGCAGATTTCTTGTATTCGATCACTGCATTGAGGGCCAATAATCCCATCATGACCAAATTATCCAGTCTCAAGACATGTCTGGCAAGATCTTCAGAAACTTGTCTCAGTCTCAGATATGAGCATCAAACCATATCAAACCACATTAGGCCATCAGGTATCCAAGAAGCTGAATATTTACAAGTGGCACGAACAATGATCAACATCTCTTGGGAAAACAAAGCAAACTGCGAACAATCTGCACTTCTCATAATCATAATTCATGCACCTAAAAAAATCAACTAACCATAACTTGTGACCATTTGAGGTATTTGGAGATGATTCAACTATTTGGGGATCATTCCAACTATAGTAATTATTCATACTTATCCAAGGCGACCATTCCAGCCCTTCCGGAGGCTCCTCGCAAGTCCACTCCGCGCAACTTTTTCCTTGGCACCCGCCGGCGACGAAAAAAAGGGGATCATCGTAGCACGGATGGAGAGACCCAGTGATTAATGGGACCATGAATGTCAACCCCGGATTGATAAACCATGGTTTATTAATGTTTATTAATTAGAGGGCTACTCCCCAAATAGTCATAATCTGATACCCCCCAATTAAAAAGCCGTTTCGGGTTTATTAATCCGGGGTTGACATTATACATAATTTGATGATGGGATAATGATAGAAGAACATAGAATAACCTGGGACAATACGAGAAAGTATGGGATCATCATTTGTGTGTGTGTCTGAATCAGGACTTTGCAACCCAACAAAAAAGGCTGCCATGTGCGCTAGTGCAGCCAGCTGCATGTCAAAATTCAGAACCATAACAAAAGGACAATTGACTTTGGTTGTGATATGTCGCGATGTAGTACTGAACCACTCCAGATCATTCCAGAATTGCATGGTTTCTCTGCAGGAAAACAATGGGTTCACTGGTAAAAAAAAATGCCAGAACATGCCTTCTCAGGAGCCAGTTCCATGAATCATCGACAACTCTCTAATTTAGTTGGACACCCTTGTGAAGCACAGAGAGATGTCTGCGGGGGCCCCTACCAGTAGAAATGGCTAAAGATGACAAACCATTAAACCTCAATGGGCCGCCTCATTATACTTCATGGAAACCCCATGAATCTCTATCAAGCCCCATTTTTTAACCCATTAAACCCACCCATTCAATCCCAATCAATTCCATTAGATTTCATGAAACAAATCCATTAGATTCCCATGGAAATCTCCATCCCATATGCTCCATGGTGCTGGAATATTTATACACCAACAAAACTACCCTTGTCCATTTTATCACCATCAGTTTTCTAGGTTTTTCTATACCAGCACCGTTTTGTTCGCATCTGATCCCATGAAAAATTGCTCCCTGGTGATCTCTCCATCAAGGCACCGTTGTAGTTTTCCGTCTTGCAGCGGCACATTTGGATCTCGGTCTCAATCCTCGGATCGCGGGGGACGACCACCGTTCTGAATGTTGGCTTTTTCTAGGCTGCCGTCAGTTGGGAAACATATCTATCACTACTAGGAACATCAAGTATGATACAATTCAGAGATTGTATCTAATATAATATAATCAGCTATAGTATGTATATCTATAGTCTATAGCAAATATCGATTTATACAGGATGGGGCCCAAGATAGCGTACTGCCTTATGTTTGTGGCTGAATTCCATGGTCTATGGTAGATATAACGAACTAGTTTTCATGGAGTTTATAAACCAACAAACATAACTGGGGAGCACCATCCTGTATGGGGGTTTCCTAAAATGGAGATACCCCAATAGCTGGATGGTTTATAAGGGAAAATTCATCTATAAATGGATGATTTGGAGGTACCCCTATTTCAGGAAACCTCCATATATGTGTATATAATCATATTATCTAGACACATCATATAATGATTTAAAATGTACACATATGATTTGATGAAATGTTCATTAAATCCCATGATATACATGTTATAAATTTTACATATTACATAATATGCAAAATGTTAGAATCTTCATTCCCCCAAAACGTTTTCGAGTCACATGGGAAACTTTCACACACCCACGGCCTTCTAGGCCGTGGCAGGTCAATATCATGAGCATCCTATGGTCATATTGTGATCATGAGAAAACATTGGAAACCCACTCATAATATAATATACATATATAGGATGGTTTTAACAATATATCTATTCAATGTAGGATGGTATATAGATAATATATTCATAATGAGCATCCCATATATTGGTTATAAATCCAATGGTTAAAACATGGGGATTCCAATTAGAAATGTACCTTGTATGATCCCGAGGGGGTCCAGTGGAAAAATCAGCCCAGGGATGGAAGGTACATTTCACATCTCCGACATCCCCGGTTCCGATCATCATGGATCATCATTTTCCCAATGTAAATTCCATGGGAGATCTTCAGGATCCTAAAATGGAGCTACGTTAGTACCATATTATCGGCCATATTTTGTGGGGATATCCTTCATTTCTCCTGGTGCTAAACGCAGGGAATGTTCGGGAATGATCCATAATCACTAGTAATAATCATCCCAGCAACCCCCATTCCCCCATTCCCATCCATTCCCTACGTTCAGCACCAGTAAGATTAGCTATGTTCATCCTATTTCAATGGCTATGATCCTGTTTCCAATGGCATTTTCCACCATTTCCATGGCCATTTCAGAGCCCGTTTTCGAAGCCCAATTCAAGGGAAAATCTAGGGCTTTGTAGATCCAATGCCAAATCCATTGAAAAGTGCCGAGCCACTCTCGCCATCGGGCGCAGGTCCGTCGTGCAATCATGGTGTTGTCACCTAGAGGCTCGGATGAGGAAAGAACGTTGGAGTGGTTTCAGGGAACATATAACTATGGAAAATCACGATTTTCAATGGGTAAATCCACTATAAACGGCCCATTTTCCATAGCTTTTTGTTAAATTACCAGAGGGTATTCTTCATGTGTTGACCTTTGCAATCCTTTGCATCGAACTTCCATCAACTTCCCGATCCAAGGAACCATTCACGATGCAAACATCACCCCACCAGAAGTGCACATGTCGAGCCGCCGGATTGTAGGCAAACCTCGTGGAACAGAAATGTTCATGGCATTTCATGGGAATATAGTGGATAGTAGGTTTTTATATACGAGTAATGGGATACATAATGACGTAATGGGCTATTTATGTATATATATATAAGTATAAGTATATAACAACCAACAATATGACATATGGCTTGTGGTCATCCATCTGCCATGGAAATCCCAACATCATAGATACATCACTGGGAAAAAAAACACAAATCCCCATGAAAATGAAGTGATGATCATGCCCAAACATACAATCCATCTTTGACCATGGTATCTGGATGTATCTGGACTTCTTCACCAAGTCCAGCCCAACAAATTGGCAAAGCCAAGGCCAATTTTGACGGCCGCTTCAACTGGTTTTGGGATGTTCTGAGTTGGGGGCCCTATTCTAAGAAGCTTCAGAAATGTCTCAGGTCAATTCACACATGGAGGTTTCCAAAAATAGGGGAATTCCCCAAAAATCATCCATTTGATGTTCGGATTTTCCATGAAATAAACCATCCAGCGAGCTTGGGGTACCCCCAGTCCTCGTTTTCCGTTAAAAATTAAGGGACATACTACAGGATGGGGCCCCCAGTCGATAGCGTTCAGTTGCCTTACGTTTGTGGCTGAATTCTATGGTTTATGGTAGATATAACGAACTAGTTAATGTGGGTTATTTCATGGTTTATAAAGCAACAAACATAACTGGGGGGCCCACCCTGTACAGGAAACCATGGTCTTTCCGATTTGTTTTTTTGCTTTTCTTGTGGGGACTTTATTATAAATGTGTTACATCATCCTATACAAACTTCATTAGCCATTCATCGGTTTCCATTTGTTTGCCGGGGGTGGATTTGTTTGACCATCTAAGATTCCAGGGACGGGATGTTCACAAAAAGCAACATGGGATGGCTATAGTCGATCTTGTGGGGATAGTCCAAGTCTTTCTATCTACCCTACTAAGACTTGCTTCCAAGATCCCTACCGACCTTAAAGGGGGGGGAATCTTAAAAAATGTAACTTACATTTTTGGGGATTTGAACCTTGAAAATGTAAGATTACATGTTTATTTCTCTTGACGTTTTGATACCTTAAACAAGGTAACTTACATTTTGGGGAGGTCCCTCAAAATATAAGTCCAGCTAAATATAAGTTACATTTTTTAAGGTATCAAAAACAGTGGGTGAGCGAAAAAAGAATCCTTGGGTGGGAGGGTCTCTAAATGTAGCTTGCGCCCCTCCGAAGGTAGTTTGTAACCCTTGGGCCTTTTCCAGGGGAAAGAGTCATGTACACAGAGTTTAGTGGGTACAAAGTTACATTTTCAAGACCTCCTCAAAACATGTCTAGCTTACATTTTTTGACCCCACCCCTCCGAAAAATGTAAGTTCCACTAAGGGTGGGGATCTGCCAGGGTCAGGTCCGAAGCTCTTCCAGTTTCTAGGGCTGCAACTGAAGCTATCAGCTATCGTAAGTAGGGAATGAATACTATTGGACAAATCGTCGCCAGTATACATTCCCAAGATGATACTATTGGATATTTACTGGAAGTATTTACCCTAAGTATGATCAATTCGATTGGATGGTAGGGAGTCTCATATCATCACACGTAAATTACGGTAAATTCAAACGGCTCGCTGAAGATGATCAACAGCTGATCGCCAAAGTCTTCCAAGAGATGTAGCACGGCTTTAGTGAAGTTACCTTTGGGGGGGCTCATTCCTTCAGATGCATTAGTAATTCTGGGTCATTCACTTGAGTGTATAACCCTCAAAAATATGCAAGAATCACGGACCCTCCTGGGTGTGTCTGAACATGGGCTATACCTCCCAATCTTGGCTATTTCTTGGAAAATGAACACATGAAGCAATGGATTTAGGGCACCCTATTTTCAACCCCAAATGCTTCAAAATGGTCCCTATCATCCCTACAGTTATGGCTCTTTACATGTATATATATATATGTATTATATATATATATATATGAATTATTATGTATATATATGATATATATATATATATATGTCACTAAGTCACCCCATTGATGGAATGATAACCACATCAAAAATCCTCATGGAAAAACCGTCCCGAAATCATCGATTTTAATCTTGTCCCAGGTGCAGAGGGGGCCAATCCAGCGTACTGGTCTGCAAACCTGGCGGGGCAAACCTGGCGATGTTCTAATGGGGTACCCTCTGGTAATTTAACAAATAGCTATTGAAAATGACCATTTATAGTGAGTTTTCCCGTTAAAAATGGTGATTTTCCATAGCTATGTTAGTTTACCAGAGGGTAGCTCAAAAAAATGAGTGTTTTTTTTGCAAAGGTTCTAATGTGGTAAAGCCAATGATGTCAACTATCACTGGATTGGTTTAAGAGAAATTTTACGACCCTATTTTTTGATGGGTTTTCCCCATGGTTTCCGGTTTCAATTTTCCCTTCAATCCCATCAAACTATCCTGCAAAATCACCAGACATGGGTGGTTTTGTAACCCTCCACTTCAATGGTAGCTTTGTAAAAAAAAAATGTTGGGTTTACCGCAAGCCAAAGCCAACGCTGTCAAAACTGAAAATCCCTCCAGTAAACTAACAGTTTGCAATGGAAAATAGACCCTTTATAGGTATTTATAATTTATAAATATTATATAAATGGATTGATTTATAATAATTAAATATATATATATATATTATATTAAAGATAGATATTCATATAAGTAGATTATTGATTTACCTATTAAGATAGATATTCATAGCTATGTTAAATTGCTGGTAAGTTGCATTATTTAACTGTAATTGCATGTTCTGAGCTTCCCGGTTTAGAAAGACCTTTGAAAACAAGGTCTTTTTTGCAAGACATGTTCAACTTGACTTGCACGGCTAAATAAGTATGTCTTGGTATTCAAAGTGATTTGCCAAATCTTGAGGTGCCAAATCCTACATAACAAATCCTTAGAATTTCTACCTCAGAATAAACATATCCCACTTGTACATAAACCGAGCACTCAACCGTAGCAATCCATGTCTTCACCAGGCCACGTCTGGAGGCGTCAGCTGCTTTCGTTGGAAGCCCAGCATGCTGCAGCTCCGTTTGAAGAGCCGTGGTATTCCATTTCTCGAGATAGGCCTGGGTATGTTGGGTGCGACTCAAAGCATCCTCCACGGTTTCTCTGGAAAAACACTATTTTAATAGGTAAAACAGCTGTAAATATCAATGGTCCATTTTCCATGGCAAACTGTTAGAAAAGCCCTAACTTTCACGGTTTAGAAAATCATTGACCGAAAATGTGCAAGTTTTTCTCATTGTTTCCCCTATTAATATTATGATTGGACACAAATTATCATAATTTTCCATGTTAAATGTTATAACAATTTGGCCATTTGGCAGGCATATCGTATTTATTTAATTTTCCATATTCATTTCATTTTGCATGTATTCAAAGTTCAAAATTACATCATCATAATTTTCCATATCACCATTTGGGGGGCATAAGCTCCATTTCTGGACAGAACCAAATGCTTACCCCTGTTCCACCAGGCCGTTCACAGAGACAAGCCCCTGGTCATCCCGGGCCATGGCAATCCAAATATCATGGGGAATGTTAAAATGACCTATGAACATCTGTGAAAATGGATGGATGAAAATGATATTCATAGAATAGATAACATAGAAAATAGATTAGATGACATAGAAAATTAGATACATTCCATGAAACAAAACTCTGAAAATGGATTGATGACCATCCTTTGCTATCTGTACTGCAATCTACTCAAGTTTTGACCAGTCACAGGTGGGAATCCCTACCGCTTTTTGTACCCGGAAAAAGTCACTGGTTGATGATCACCATCCCTATTAAAAAAACAGACATTGACTTACTGGTGCTTAGTAGGGAAATGGATGGGTTGCTGGGGGTTGCTGGGATGATTATTACTGGTGATTATGGATCATTCCCGAAAATTCCCTGCTAAGCACCAGTAAGTTGAAGGATGGAATACCACCTTATCAGACACTCCCTGAGCCCAGGAGCCAAGTAATCTCCAATGAGCGCTGCCTCTTGATCCGCTTCCTCCGATCAGTGCGGATGAAACACACTCCAAGAATAGGTTGTGGGACATATGACCACAGATAATACAATATATATATATATGTAATATTATATCATATATATATACATATATATATATGTTATGTATAATAATATATATATAACATAATATATATATATACCAAGATATACCAATGTTTCAGGAACCGTTCAGGAAAAATCCAGTTAGACATCGTGTTGAGTTGTCTCTTAGGTGAAAAAAAGGCCCTTGGTTCTATCGTCTTCATCTCCACATGGGTCATTTTTTCACCAGTAAATCAGGTGAGAAAAATGTGTTGTTGCCTCTAGGCCTGGTCTCTGGAAATTTCTGAAATAGGCACTAGAGTATGTTAATGACTGCTTGGTGGTTGAGCCCTACCCCTCTGAAAAATGATGGAGTGAGTTCGTCAGTTGGGATGATGACATCCCAACTGAATGGAAAGTCATAAAATTCCATGGTTCCAAACCACCAATCAGATGATGGTTTAAAACCCCTGTAAGTGCTACAGAAACACATTGAGCCAATCAACCAGGGTCTGTCGGGTCACCCTTAAAGATTCGACCGACCCTTGGTCGGTCTCCACCAACCCTATTAGAATCCAAACAAACCCTAGAAATAAGGAATATTAGGGGTATATTCTCCCTGTATCTCCCTGTTAAATCCAGATTTTTTTGACTTTGGATGACTTTGGATGACTTTGGAACACCAAAAATGCGACGGAGCGAGTATCCAAACGCCGACCCAAATCCGCAGACCAGGCGGAACCGTAACTCCACCTGAGCAACCGCCACGCTTGGAAGTCCATTGATTCAATTGATTCAGTTGAGTCAGAGGTTTCTCAAAATCGGGGACCCCCAAATCATCCATGTGATTTTCGGCTTTCCCTCATCAACCATCCACTTTGGGGTACCCCGATTTTTCTTCCGCATTTTCGGGGTCCCGTTCATATAAACAACACCCCCAATTCCGAAACCCATGGGAGCCATCCAGTGATGGGATGGCCCGAGTTTTTCGCCCAGGTTTCGAGGCGAATGGAAAATCCATCGGAAGGTGGCGATGTCACCCATAGGAAAAGCACAAAAATGATGGATTCATGGGCAAAAGGATTGATGCTGATGAGGAGGATTGGAAAAAAAGATGGTCTTTCCGGATGAGAATATAACAGCAATGACGGTGATTTTTGGAAATGAATATGATGATGGTGCTGAGGATGTTTATCATGATGCCTATGTTGATGATAGCAATGATAATAGTATAGTCAATGCTAGCAATTGTAATGAAACCAATGAAAGACATGGTATGAGTGATAGCAATGAGAACAATGAGAACATGCATGGTGGTGATGATGAAGTGATTAAGTGACAAAGTGATGAAGTGCTGCAGTGATAGAGTGATAGGGGATACTATTCCTTCATGATGGTTGGTGAATGGGGTTTCCTATCATCCAGCCAGTGATAAATCTCACAGAAGGTGGCATGGCAACCTTAACATTAAATCTAATTCTCGAAGATATGTACATGTAAGTATTGTGCACAAAAACTCATACAAAGTCTCGCGGCTTTGGCTGGCTGCATCAACCGTTTTTTAAGCGAAATATTCTTGAAACCAACATCACTTTGTAGATCATGTTACTTCGGGAAAGGAAAACAACAACATTTTCCAACCATTTTCCCAGGTTTTCTACATCAACCAGCTGCACCTCACCCTTATTTCGGACCCGCGAGTGCGAGCGCGGTTCCAGTTATAAGTCGATATACTGGTCCATGGTGGATGTAGGGGATGAAACCAGATGTTTTGGGAGCATGAGATATGAACGGGCCAGATGGGCAAACTATATATATGCTTCAGTCATGTTCAGTCATATCATGTTATTTCTCAACTTATGGAGGGACTGTCACCATGATGATACCGGTACCCATCTAACACACCAACTGCACCCCCATATGATATCGGTTCCCATCGTCGCTTCGAACCGACCATTGCAACCCAGGGACCAACGGTAGACGGTTTCGCCCGTGGTCAACGCGCCCCCGGATTGCCGTTCGAGGAGCGCGTCATAGACGTCCCAGTTCCTGGCAAGGGAAGCGCTACGATGGGCGTAAATTAACAGAGACCCTGCCAGATAGGGGTTGGAAGACTAGTGAAACCACTATAAATAGGTCATTTTCAGGGTCGAACTGTTAAATTACCAGGGGGTACTTGGGGGTTCATCCCACTTAGTAAGTTTTTCTAGGCTGCAACTCTAGTTATAAGTGGATTAACCCTACTTATCCTACTTACAACCAGGGATATAAGATGATATAAGCTACTGACTAAGTGGGATGAGCCACGAAAAACGTTATTGTGTTGGTTTGAATGGTTTGTGGTGAATGATTGTGGTTATTGGTCATGGAGATAATGTGTGTGTGTATGTCTATTGGTTGTGGTGTGATTATTCTTAAATATGTATGTAAATGTATATAATTATGGTTTAGGATTGTGGTCATAGTTATTAAATGTAGTTTTAATGTGTACCCTCTGGTAAACTAACAAAAAGCTATTGAAAATGGCCATAGAAATAGTGGATTTTCTCATTAAACATGGTGATTTTCCATAGCTATGTTAAATTACCAGAGGGTATATATATATATATATATGTGTGTGTGTGTGTCCGCCGTCCGCCGTCCATCCTGGTGCTGAGTATGCATTGGTCGATGGGGTTCCCAGAAATGCATGGGGGATCCCCAATAGCTCGCTGGATGGTTTATTTCATGGAACATCCGAACATAAAATGGATGATTTGGGGGTACTCCCATGACTTAGGAAACCTCCATAACTTGGTTTTGGTGATGTGGATTTTGGTGTAACCCGTGGCGTTGTATGTTGAATTGCATCCCATTAGATATTCTCAGCATGATCATGCAAATCCTCCATGATTTATGATCGCTTCATCCTCATGTCTTCGCTCATTATACGATATCATGAGGTATCTAATCACCATGATCCTTACTTGATGACAGATTTTCCACCATTTTCCCATGAATTTCTCTTTTGAGGCCTGGACAAAAGATGAATGAATCCCCTATACCCTATGAAAAACATCCCATTCAAACCCTGAACAAAAACCCCATCAAACCCCGTGAAAAACCCTATCACAAACTATACGTACAAACCATCGTGGTTTTATGCACAGAAAGTGGCCCCGGTCCCATGACGCAAATGCGGCAGCCAGCCATGGTTCAATGAACATCCCATTTATTCACTATGAATTCGTTAATTCACCCCCTATTCAATCACCATTAAATCACCATTAAATCAGCACTAAATCAGCACTAAATCACCATGAAATCACCATTACATTGCCAATCTTAGATACCTGGCAAAATAAAAAAAATAGCTGCTTAGTGGATATTCCCATAGCAAAAGATTTCTCAGAATTCTCAAGTACCCATCCAAGGTTGACCTAGATTACATTCCTGCGGCAAAGCAAGGATTGCTGTGGGTAAAACAATGTCATAAACCATCCCCCAGTCATCACTATTTTGATAGGTGCTCCAGGAAAATGAGTGGTAAAAATGACATTGTTTTAGCCAATAATCACCATGATATTTCCAATAAAATCACCATTAAATCACCAAGAAATCACCATTATAATCCCCATTAATCATCATTAATCATCATTAATCCCCATGAATCACCATTATATTCCCAATGCGGCAAGGCAAGGCGCATGTGGAAGGGGCTGTACCAACAACTCACCGTCTCTCCGTCGTCATCGCGGCGCAGCTCGCAGATCTGTTGGTCAGCTTCCAAGGCATGGCAGCTCCTAAGGGATCTCAGTGATAAACGAAAAATGGTGGATTTATATGGATTTATATGGTGGTTATTTATATGGATGGAACAAAAACTGATTTCTATGGATGTTATTGACTTATATGGATTTGTATGGTTATTTATATGAAAAAATGTGATTTCTATGGATTTATTTTGATTTATATGGTTTTGTATGGTGATTTACATGGTGACTTCAAAAATGAAATTGGTGAAAAAAACATTGTGATTTATGGATTTAACTAACGGTTTTAGGTGCTGCACACATGCTGATTTACATGGATTTGTATTTGATGTACCATCTGGTTATTTAACATAGCCATGGAAAAACCCTTGTAAATGGAGGTTTTAATGGGAAAATCATCTATAAATGGGCCATTTTCCATGGCTATGTTAAATAACCAGAGGGTACTCACTTAGATGGAGATATCACTTTGCTGCATTCTCCAGCCAATTTTTGATGGTCTGGAACCAAACAGTGCCAGTCTCAAAAACTATTCGCGACATGTCTTGTAGGCTCTTTGTTGATGTGTATAATGTACACATATTACGCATTTATACCGTCTATAGCAGCAACAAAAAAAGTGACTATCCAAGGTTTCGAGGGATTTAACTTGATGGATTTGACAAAAATATCAGGTTCCAGTGAAGGAATCTTAAAGGGATTTAAAGGGTACCATGGGGGGTAGTAAAAAGTATGTTCTCCACAAAACAAACATGCACAATGTGGGCAACCCAATAAAAAAACCCACCATTTTGGATAGGATTTATTGTGATTTTAGGGATGGTTTTAAAGTTTTTCTTCGTGGGTTTACCCAATCATTTCTTTTACAGCACCATGATATTCTGGTTGCAGTCATTTTTGCCCATCCAATATCATTCCGTTGAGGCCCGTGCCCCTGTGTTAAAAGATATTCCTATTCATGGATTGGCTTGAGGAACCACCAAAATAAAACATATTCCCTATAGATTCCCTATATTGTAGTGGGTTTCCCATGGAGAATTTATAAAAAATCATCTGAAGATCCAAGTATTCTAAACTCCTGAGAACAGGTCACCAGGTGGTCAATCCTGGAATAAACCATCAGTCATAGAAAAAAATGCTGGCCAAGTGGATAAATTCACAGACCTGAAACAATCTGGTTGGTGGTTTTAACCATCTTGAAAAATATGAGTCAGTTGGGATGATTATTCCCAATATGTGGGAAAATAAAATTCATGTTCCAAACCACCAACCAGTTATTATGATAATTACTCCTACAAACCATCATTCCAGTGACGTCACATTGAGGTCATAAGATATTTTTTCCAGATATATCGGATTGAAATGACAAGTTTTGACCATGTTTCCACTGGACCACAGATTTTGACCCAAAACAGTCATCATAATTTGACCCTTAGCCTCCAACTAACATAGCTATCGTATAGATGATCCATTTAAAATCGATGATTTAGCTATAAAAAAAGGTGATTTTCCAGTTCGCTTGTTGTGTGTTTACTGGATGGTACCCGGCCTGGTAAACGTTGACACAACGAACTGGAAAATCACCATTTTTAATAAGTCCTAGAACTAAGGTTCTATAATGTTATATATCATTATAAACCAAGATAACTATGGAAAATCACCATGTTTCATGGGAAAACTCACGGAATAATGGCCATGTTCTATGTCGCTTTTTGTGTGTTTAGGCCGGGAAAATCGACCATGTTTCCACCAAGGCGCCATGCCTTGCAGTAGTTGCCGTTTGTGGCGATCTCATGACCTAATGCGGAACGATGGGGAAGAATGGTTGGTGGAACACGATGGCAAAATATGGAGGAAAATGCAAGGAAATTCAATGATACAATGGAGGAACATGGTGGAAAATAGTGGAAAATCAGGGAAAGATGGGGAAAAACACTGGAAAACGATGGTGGAAAATGGATTGAACATTCTCCAAATGTTGGAAATGGTGGAGTTGCGATGAATCCGCATCCAATAAGTAGGGATGATGTGAGTGCTTGGATGAGGCTGCTAGTAGACAAATATTGATCATCAAGGTGTGTGTGTGTATATATTAATATACATACATATTATATCAGATGATACTACTTGTACATCAAATAACACTCCACCAGAAGTGACTCATTTGACAGCGCCCCTGAAAAACATCCAGTTTTTTTATCAGCAATGTACGTTTAGCAAATCCTCTCGCTCGAGGGACATTTGCAAACACCAAAGTCGTGCTCGCCACAATTCCACTCGTGCATCGTCCAAACTTCGCAGAAGCCGTTGCTATGCATGGTGACCTGAGCGTTGTGTAAAAATCCTCTGGAAAAGGAAACCTGGAAACGAACTCTACGCCTGAGAGTAATGAAATTTCCTTAGCTGTTTCTGGTAGGGTAAAACATTATCTGATTTATCCGGATGGTGGTTTCTAAACCCTCTGAAAAATATGAAAGTCAATTGGGATCATTATTCCCAATATATGGAAAAATAAAATTCATGTTCCAAACCACCAACCAGTTATTATGATACAACCACAGCTGTCGTTCATGTCGTTCTTGTATCGTCACTTTTCGTGGCCGTTTCACCGAACCGAACCGAACCGCGAGGTTTCCGCCCAGCTGCGCATTGATAGTCCTCCGATTCCAAATGCGGATGCCAAATCCAGGATGGAATTCCGCGCCAAATTCCATCCACCATACGTTCTGTCCTTGCTCGCTGCTCCACCACCACCAACAACAGCAACAACAACAAGAACAACAACAACAACATGACGATTATCATCATCATCATCATCATCATAGTAATGAGACACATCCAACTGTATAGAAAATTGGTTCTTTCAAACGTGTCCGCCATGTTTGTTCAATCTTTCGGTCAACACATCGCGCCGCTGTTCACCGCTCCTCTGGTTGAAGGAGTCACCATCTGGGCGCCACTCTAAATGTGCCGTGGGTTCCTCAGCGGCGTCGTTTTGTGATGTTCACCCGTTTGCGTCCTTTTAGGTGTTGCTCTGATTGACATTCTCCATCCTGAAAAATCCAGGATCCCTCTGGTAATGACTAACAGTTTGCGACATTGAAAATGGCCTATTTAATTCGTCGATTTACCTATTAAAGATGGTGATTTTCCATAGCTTTTTGTACGTTTACCAGAGGGTATACAAACTCCCCATCTTTGTCACCTGCCTGATCCAGATACCGAGCATCAACGCAGCCGCATCCTTGTAACATGGTGGCGCTCATTGCAAGGACGGCAAAGCCCACAGCGTAGCGCCAGCGCCCGGACGAAGGCGAGGGCATAGAGGGCAGGGGGAGCGATAGCGAAGGCATCCTGCAAATCCAGGCGAGGTGGAGGATAGACTATATTTTGGAGTACCAGATGTAATCTGCATGTATTGTATAATGATTACATATTACATATTAATTACATATACTATAATATATTATATTATATTACATTATATTATATTGTATTATAATTTATTATAAAGAAATCATATTATATATTATATTGAATTGAATTATATTATATTATATTATGTTATATTATATTATATTATATCATATTATATTATTATGTTATATTATATAATATTATATCATATCATATTATATTATATTACATTATATTTGATTATTTTGTATTATATTATATTATATTAAAATCTGTTATATTATATTATATTATATATTATATAGTATATATGTGCAATGGATACGGTAATATATCGAGTATGTGTATGTATATATACATATACATATATATATATATATCTACACATGTATGACTCTCTATATATATATATATTACTGCTTTCATATTGTTATGATTGGTTATTATGATTGATTATGATGAATTGATGTCAATTCCAAAGTTGATTTATGATTTGTTTGGATGGTTTCAGAATTGAACAGCTTGCAAAATGTCAGGGGCACTTGATATCATGACAGTCCATGCATGTTTGCAGATATCTGGTATGGACATGTGCAAATATGATATGCCCGGGATACAAGTGGAAAGACCAGGGCACCAGCCACCTGCACAGCGCTAACATCATAAAACATGCATGGCACATCTACATGGCACCCGATAGAAACTGGTTCACCTCCTTGGCGGGATGTGAAACCTGTACAGCTGTAAGAACGAACAAAACTCATCAAAAATAGTCGCGGTTGGGATCTGAAAGTTTCTGAAACCATTACAGTATTCATTTTGGGGATTAACTATGTCTAGGACCCAATGTTGAGCAATGGGTTTCCCATTCTGCCCTTTGGCCAAGTGTCCACAAGACTCCCAAGAGGAGCAGCAGCAAACTGCTGGGTGCCAAACGACCGGAAGAATTGCAGTTCACATCGCAGGTGTACCTCGTCAGGTTGCAACCACGGTTTCAAAGGTGAAAGAAGGTTGATTGGTGCAAGTTGTAGCATGTACCCTCTGGTTATTTAACATAGCCATGGAAAATGGCCCATGTATAGATGATTTTCCCAGCTAGATACCTCCATTTATAAGGGATTTTCCATGGCTATTCTCCAGAAGGCAGCCCATGCACTTGAAATAATGGATGCAACTGGATGCCCAAGATAGAATTGCAATCTCTGCAAGGCGCACAGCAGATCATGACATGCAACCATATTAAGAGTATGGCCAGCCTTGCCACCAAAACATGGCCAGGACTTAATTTGGGTGAGGCCAGGAATGTTAATCCACATGGAAACAGAAAATCTCCCAATGTATACATGATTTGCCTTCCAAAACCTCCATGCATTCGGGACTTCCCAGCCAGCCATGGTTGATTCCCGAAGAGTATATGTAGCTTGTTCATGCTTTTTCCTCATTTAAGTCGTGGTAAGTTTGACATAGGGCCCAACTGCTTGTAATTTTGATACGTTTCCTGTGTTCCCTCTGTAAACATCTCATGTTTTTGTCCGGAAATCAAGACTCACGCCCGAAAAGGAGCTGTTAAAAAGTCCCATTTATCAGGGGTATGGTATGGTTCATGGTGCAATCACAAAAGATATATAATATATAACAATATAACAAATGTGTATATTTACATTTGCCCCTCTATAGCCATATAATATGTTCATTTGCATACTCCGATGCATGAAAATTTTCGGGTTGGAACCCCCAACTGGCTTTCTAATAGTGGTAATGATGATTAACCAGTGGATGGACTGGTGTACCCTATTTTCAGACGCAAACGAATATATCTGTGATAGAATATATTGTAAAAAGTAGTCTTATGTAACTTACCATTATTTTTGTAGGACTCTACTTTTCTGGAAACATTTCTGTCTTTATTGGCCTTGCGAAATACACATGCGCCGATTCATCCAGGTAACGCGGTTCCTCCACCTGTGGTGTTCACCTTGAATTGTTCCTCCAGAGCGATGTCACAAAGAGCCTGGCGGCGATGGGCGGTGCTGCCGGTGATGGTCGACTTTGGTTCCGAACTAAAAAAAAACATCATCTCCTGGATATCTACACTATCGAGATATCATGAGATATCTACCATAAAACCAGAGTTAACCACAAATTGCATTGTAGATCCCAGTGTCTAGTTCGATAGATCTACCATAAACTATTAAATTTCGCGAGCTCTCGTTTATCAGAAATTGCGATTGAAATTCACCAACATGTGTTGAAACATTAGGTTGCGCCAAAATGAATTGTTTTTTATTCAATTTTGGGGAAACGAGACTTGTGAACACATATCATGAAAAAATGCTGTCACGGGCCACTACGGGATCATGGTCCACCATGGTGTGGTATACTTTTCGATCAGAACCTCCGAAGCCGAGTTGTGCTGAAAGCCTGTGTCCTGATGAAATTGACTTGGATAGATTCAACTTAAAAACGCCTAGCCGTCAGTCTATTTCATTCTGGCATCGCTGTCATTTGTTCTGGAAACATCATGATAATTGACACCAACTGCACACCTGCATTCCAACAACCCGCATGGATGACGATGGTGGCTCTCAACGAGCGGCGCTGGTGCCAGTAGGCCCCCGTCGAGGAAACCGACGGGTTCAACTTGAACAGCAGAGAGATCGAGATCATTTGCTGGAGGTTGCTCTGGGGCAGTTGCAAAGTGCCCTGGACAGCTGCTTAGCATTTCTTGGCGCTTCTCCGGAGCAGTCTCGGGTTGCTTGGTTTTTCGGATAAACATGGCTAACATGGGTGGCCACACTCCTGCGCCAAACAAATCAAACACAATTCTTTAGAGAAGGGGGCAGGGATGGGTCGGATATCATAACCCCCAACTCCTTCTGAGGCTTCAGGGGAAGTGAGGTTGTTCCTGAAGCATGCAGAGGACGTTTTGAAAGGCAACCAGTGCCAGACCTTGCTAAAGACATCCAGAGGTTCACAAGGCAAGGGCGGCCAGCGATACACGTTGTCCACCATTCTGGAGTCTGTGCTTCTTAGTCGCATGGTGCCTAGAGCCTGATTGGAAAGTCGTTCCTTTGTTGCGTGATGTTGGGTACCTGGTTGATTTCTAACTCTGCGACAATGACTGACTAATGATTCCATCGGTGTATGACGCATGGGGTATGTTTATTTTAATAACACTTGCAAACTAGATGAGATGGTTGGGTTTTAATGCGAGGGTCAACGGAGTCCAGAAGGGCCTCCATAGCGGGTTTGCGGCCAGTTCAAGCTCATGATGCAGGTGAAGAACAATTCGAAGTTGAAGGATGCCATTGTGCGATCTGTGGCGCTTTTGCAGGGGCAGGCAGCCGCTTCACACTATCAGGTGCTCTTTGATTCCAGCCAGCTGCACTTGCCATCAGAATCATCGCTGAGCAGGGCCCGTTTGAAGGTTGACATTTTGCTGTGCTTGTGGCACCACGCGCAAGTGACCGATCCTTCAGCATTCTTTGTTTACTTATCTTCTGACTCTTCACCCCAAGGGGGGTACGAACTATTGATGACTTTGCAAGATGTTTGCAGTCGTACCATGTCTGGGTTTTGATTGAGGCTCAGGCTCAGGTCAGTTTCTCTTCATGCAGAGGTTTTCCTGATCAAAATATTTGGTTAAATGTTAAATCAAACTCACTAAGGTAACAGTCAAAACTCTTGTTTTTCTGGTGTGGACTGGACTGGATTTAAAATTTTGGTTCAAGTTAGCTTGACCCGAAAGTGTGATTTTTGATTAATTAGCCAATTGAAGTGGTCCCGTCATGAAAAACACCATCATTCATCATCTGAGGTGCGGATGCCTTGAAATTGATGCAGCTCATTGATGAGTCCAGGGAAAAGGGGCACGACTTCGACGAAGGTGAGATCTCAGTTGACTTGCAGGCATTCTTAGATTCCAAGTTCTTGAGGACTACAACACTGCCGCTGGGAATGCTTGGCTCTGGAAACTGTGACCTTGCCGCTAAACATGAATGTCTTTTCCATTGCTTGAAGTTGAACTGTGGTATTGGAACTGATGCTTGACTTGCAGCAGTTGTCGTGTAGATTACGCACTGTAGTACCGTAGACGGTAGTACTGTAGACTGTAGTACTGTAGATTTATTTTTGTTTCTGAAAAGTCTCTATCCCCTTAACTTTAATCCCCTTATCTTTTCTCAGACTTGAATTTTGGATCCTGGAATCTGTGGCCTGATGGCGGGATGTACACTTTCCCTTTGCCCAGATTGCCAAGATGTTCAGGATGGCGCAGCGTTGGCAGCATTCTCCAATTCTGTCATTGGACTGTGTTCTGACTACGGCACCGAGAGCCAGCTGTCAGAGGTTTGTTTCGTTGATGTGGTTGTTCGGGTTCCGTGCCGGTGTGGAAAGGTGGATTGGTAGAAGTGGTAGAAGTAGAAGTTAAGTTAGAATAGAATCAGATGATTTTTTGACCTGCATTGAGTTCATTGAACTTTGAACTCTGAACTTATGATTCGCAGTTGCCCTTACACACAAACATGTGGGCTGAAAATGCTGAAAAGTGCATGGTTTGACACCTTCCCTGCAGGTGCCCGACATACCGATCAAACAAACTCTGGAGGCAATGGTGCACAACTCGAATGGAATGTTGAAACTTGTGCGTCCTGAGAGTCATGGTGGTTCTGCAGCGCTGGCCCCGATAGTTTCAGACTCGGATGGTTTCCAGAACCAAGCCAGTGTACTTTGGCTTATATCTCTATTTGAAGTCCGATCAATCACATTCACATGTCCCGTGTCACTGTCAATGACAATCTGTGTCAGCAGGCTGCAGAGGCTGTAGAGCAATAGTGGCTGGCGGGCGCATCTCACGCCCATGGCTTTTACTCCCAACCATCAACGATCTCAACATGTATCATGTACTAATGTTCATGGACCTGCAATTTGGACCTGGAGCTTGTAAGGGGAACCAGACCACCAGGGACTTGTCTAAGGCAAGCGCGGGTCCAGCTCCAGCAGCAGTCATTGATGCGGGGAAGTTGATGTTCGGACTTTCCGGCGCTATGTCGGTTCATGGCCAGAAACACATTTGGGACAACATCAGTGGAGATGTCCTGCAGCTTTTGCGTCACTACAAAACCTTCAAGGCAGGACCTGGGGCCGGGCGAGGTCCAGAATTGATTCATATCCCTTAGGGCCTTAGGCTTAGGATCGCTTTTGAGATCAGCCGGTCTGTGGTCAGGGGCAGGCTGTTCAGCGCATGTCAGTGCACAGTGGCACAGCCCATGGTTGGGTTTCATGAGTTTCATGTATTCAGTCTGTGACATGGCCAGGAGTCACTGAACGGATTGGTGACGCTCTTACAAGTGCGGCACTACAGAGACCGAATATGTGATGCCTTGTTCAAGAACACTCCCTTTCTGAAGATTATGCGATGCTGGCCGGCAGGCCAGTTTATCCAATGGCGGTGGGGATCGCTTGTTACAGTATGCAAAGGACTGCTTGATCGCGAGCAGGCGCTCAGAGGCAATTGGTCTTTGAAAGTGCTGCTTCGTGTTCCTGATGTGGAGGGGCAAAGTGATGCGGCAGAGGAAATGGCCTTCAAGCGTGCCAAGTTGCAGGCATCCGAACTTTTTCAAGCGGCTGACCGCGCAGTGACAGACAGAATGTTCTGGTCCTACGTGAAAATGTTGTACTGCATCAATGGCCACCTGGAAAAGATTTCCTCGTGGTGCGAGGCTTGTGCCTGCCACGGCTGGGAATCAAAGTCCTGCCCTCTTAAGGGCAGGCGGTGCAACGAGCTTGCCGATGGCACTTTCCATCACTTCATCCAGTCTTGCGACAAGCAAGCCAGGGAAGATTTTTTGAGTTGCCAGGCAGGTTTGTCTCCAGATCAAGTGGCGCTTCTTCAGCAAGAGTTCCATACTGCCACCGACCTCATCCTCACGGAGGCGAGGCTCAAAACTGCTCACTGGGAGGTGCTTCCATGGAAGCTTTGTGGTCTGGCTGCTGATAGTGAGGTGGCAGCTCGTGCTGTTGCGAATCTTGTATCTGTTTAAGCGGTTTAACTTGTTTTGGACATGATGTTTGCGGTTACGGTTTGGGTTTTGGCTGGCTTGTTTTGTGCCATGATTAGACCCATAGGCCAGCGTGGGTGCAATGTGTGTCCTTAAACTGCTTTGCGCCGCTGCGCCGCTGCGCCGCTGCGCCGCTGTGCTGCGCTGCTGCGCTGTTGTTTCCTTGCGCCTGTGCGCTGCTGCGCCGCTGCGCTGTTGTTAGGCTTCGGCTGCGCCAGTGCACTGCTGCACTGCTGCGCTGTTGTTGTCATGTTTGGACCACTTTTGGAAGTTTAGAGATGTCGAAAAAGTACACGCCGTTGTGGCGCGAAGCACATTGCTAAGTCAAAAGCGTAAAAAAAATTGAGGGGTACTGAGCACTTTTGGACGTTCACTACTACTACTACTACTCCTCCTACTACTATTACTACCACTACTACTACCACTACTACTACCACTACTACCACTACTACTACTACTACTACTACTACTCCTACTCCTACTCCTACTCCTACTCCTACTCCTACTCCTACTACTACTACTACTACTCCTACTACTCCTACTACTCCTACTACTCCTACTCCTACTCCTACTCCTACTCCTACTACTACTACTACTGCTACTACTACTACTACTACTACTACTACTACTACTACTACGACTACCACTACCACTACCACTACCACTACCACTACCACTACCATTACCACTACCATTACCACTACTACTACTACTACTACTACTCCTCCTACTACTACTCCTACTACTACTCCTACTACTACTACTACTACTCCTCCTACTACTACTCCTACTACTACTCCTACTACTACTCCTACTACTACTACTACTACCACTACTACTACTACCACTACTACTACCACTACCACTACTACTACCACTACTACTACCACTACTACTACCACTACTACTACCACTACTACTACCACTACTACCACTACTACCACTACTACTACTACTACCACTACTACCACTACTACCACTACTACCACTACTACTACTACTACTACTACTACTACTACTACTCCTACTCCTACTCCTACTCCTACTCCTACTCCTACTCCTACTCCTACTCCTACTCCTACGCCTACTACTACTACTACTACTACTACTACTACTACTACTACTACAACTACAACTACAATTACAATTACAGCTACACTACATTATACTACAATGCACTAATTAAACTGCAGTACATTACAGCTACAAATGCACATACAACTGCAACGACACTACATTACACAACACTACTACGCTAATTACGTTACATCACATTACAACTGCACGACGCTACACTACAACTACAACTACACTACGCTACAAGTCACGAGACTACACTACAGTGTGCCACGCTACAGTGCACAACACTACAGTACACTACAATACATGTCACTAGTTACACCACACCACACCACAACTGCAACTGCAACTACACTACACTAATTACACTACATTACCACTACAACTCCACTACACGACAACTACAACTCCACTACACGACAACTACAACTACACCTACAACTAAAACTGCACTACACCACACTACATCCAGCAGTTGTGGTGAGGTGACCACTGCAACCATTGCAAGCACTCTAGAAAACACAGCTCCAACCACCTTTTCGTTCCATCAGTGGATACGCTCTGCCATCCGTGAGTCACAACAACCAACCCTTCCTATAGGTTTCGTATTTTTGAAACTTCCGCCACCGCCTTGTGCGGTACTACTGGTATATGTAAATAAATATATATGTGTGTATACACATATCTTGCTGTCTCTATCTGCTTATGTCATCTACCAGTTGTCTGGGAAAAAAGGCGTTGCGTTGCAATATGCCACACAATTTTTGTCAAAGGGTGTAGGATAGTATCCGACAAGTGATGATGTGGTTCTCGCATTCGCATTCAAAAAAGTTTGCGCTCAACCCTTGTTGAGCATCTTCGTGCAGCACGGAAATGGCTTACAAACTCAATGGCAGACGCGCATCTTGGACGCGCTGAATGTATATACGACCGGTGCCATGGGAACTCAGCTCTCATTGCCTACACAGGTTGAAGTTCTGTTCCTATGGGGCGGATATTTTCTAGATTTCATGTGTGCAAACTCATAAAATGACAATGTCCAAACACAACTTCCAAACGGTCACCGAACCTGAAGTGCTTTTAAAATTTTGACTTCGACATGCGCTTGGTGCCACAGCCGCGTGCACTTTTTGATGCCCACTTTGTCGACCTTCCCGACTGAAAAAAACATTGGAAACAACACATTGTTTCGCTATTCTCTCTCGCTGGCTCTTCACACAATTGTTGCTACATTTGCCCGAATTTTGGCCTCCAAACTCCCTTGGATCACTTTTGCCTCTCGTGGATGGAGTGGGTGGCGGGCGAAACCGGATGCATAAGAATTGCAATCCTTCCGGATCACCCTTGAGCGAGTCGCTGGGAAGACAGCAGACGCGCACGCAAAACGGACACCTCCAACTGAATAGTTCGGGCGGAATAAACGCGCATTGGCTTTGCGCACTTCCGTTGTTATATCAAAGAGTTTACTTTTCGACACTCCGGAACCGGAAAACATTGGAAACAACACAATGTTTCGCGACTTTTTCGACCTTTGCCTCTCCTGGATGGATTGGGTGGCGGGCGGGCGAAACCCGAAGCAGGGTAACAATTAAGTGTGATCCTCTCGGATGACCACTGAGCGAGTCGCTGGGAAGACAGCAGACGCACACGCAAAACAGACATCCCCAACTGAGTGGTTCGGGTGGGACAAACGTGCGTTGGCTTTGCGCACGCCTGTCGTTTGCAGATGTGGCTTTCTGGCTTGCCGCTTGCGGGCAGTGCTTGGACGGGCTTCGCATCCGTTTGCAAAGTCTTGCTTTAATTCAATGTCCACAGCAGGATCAATGATTTGCGTTGGATTGGCTGTGCAGATAGCTCCTGACATCCTTGTGCGAACCTTGCTGGCCAATGTCTTCATCCTTGTAAAGAGTACATGAGAACTCGGATTGCAAGGTGTGATTGTACATACGACATTCTGGTTTAGAGCTGCATGTCGCTGGAAAACGCTTTTTGACAAGGTTGTTACAGCAGCGAGGGTGGATCCTTGTAATTGAATGTGTTTTGTGTGGGAGAAGGTTTTCCCAATCTGTGGTTTAGTGGGTTGAGGAATGCAAGGATCAGCGGACACACTAAAGGTTAGCGTCGGTGTACGCATTGTGCTACGTGGCAACTTTTACGGATATATGCATATATGGCCAGCAACTTTATGGGGAGAAGCAGTTCGAACCATTCACAAATAATCTCCCATCGTCTGAACTCATGAATGCGACATGCACTGTAGCTTGACACGGCGCCATTCTGACTGCAACATGGCAGCAGTCACTATTTTCGTTTGGCCGAGATATTGGGCAAGGGTGTGTTTTCAAAAGGTGAGACACGGGCATGCTGAGGTCACTGGTCATCGGAGCATCGGAGCGAAGAAAAAATGGATCCAAAATCATGCAGGTCTGTTTCAGGCTCTTGAGACCTGGCCAAAGCAAGGATAGCATCTAGCTTGGTGGCCACCAATGCGTCATTCTCCAGCCAACCTGGGAGACGGTGCGCCTTGAAGTGCCGCAGATTGAACCTGAGGAAAAGCAGAGCACTCATGACGTTGAAGTATTCCAGCGTCATTCCACGGTTTGCATGCGGAAACTCTGCTAGGTAGTAGGACCAAACCCGCTCAACACTGACAGTGCCTGATTGCTGCGACAGCTTGGCAAGCCGCATAGCTTTGGACATGAGCCTCCAAGACCAAAGCCCTTCTTGACGAATCTTGCCAAAAAATCTGCGATAATGCAAGGCAACCTTCTGTGTCCAGCAAGTTTTCAGGCCCCGCACATATTCTGGCGCGTGTTGAGTCCTGGGCAAGCTCCGGTTGTAGCGCATGGTTTTCTTGCCTTTCCTGTACCAGCGAATGATGCGGCGAGCTTCTCGGCGGAAGGCTTGCGGAGAGGTCCATCCAAAGCCTTGAGATGTAGCATGCAGAGAAGCTTCAACTCGATTGGCAACACGAACCAATGTTCCGCGCGGCGGAAGGCTGCCCATGATGTCTTTCCATGTAGGAGACAGCTGCACATGGGGCAAGCCTAAGAAAGCCTTCAGCTCGCCCATGGCTTCAGCATATTTGGCTTTCTTCTCACGAAACTCCGGCTGTGGATCCACACAGGCACTCCGCAGTAAGCAAGCCGCTGCTTCGCTGAGCTCAGTATATATAGTTGGCACTGGATCTGATTTCAGGTTTGGCGGCTGTGGGCCAGAAAGCCTGTGCATCAAATCGCAGTGATCCCGTAGCAAGTCATCCTTGTCTGCTGCACGTCCGTGCAACAGCTTTGAAAGGTTGATGATATCGTGCTGGGGATCTCCAACGATAGTGCAACCTTGTTCCATCTCCTTCACTGGGATTACAGACCGTCTTTCAGCATCTCCTTTGCGAGTTCTGGCGAAGGATTGCAGGCGCAGCTCAGGCCAAGAGGCATGGTACCTGGCAGCAAGCCTGAACCTTTGGCCTCTGTAGTTGTCCGTCGCATGGAAGACGGGCACCGACTGCTCGATTGTACCTGCATGGGGGACAAGAAAGGTATGGTTAACGAGCAACAAGATGTCTGTGAATGACGCTACGACCCTGCGAAAAAAATCGTTGCTGTGTTGCTGCCAAGATACAGCCTGCACGAAGTCTGGCTAGTTTGATCTTGGCGAGCAGCGGCTGCAGTTGCGCATCTATATCTGCCCATGCTTCTGATTTTGCAACCCGAGGAGGAGCCAAGAGACTGCCGTCCAGACCTCGCAAAATAGTGTTTGCTGGTGAAAAAAGTGTCTATGCACTCATGTTTTTAGTCGCTAACGTGGTAAACACACTGAGACTTTTGGACCCTTGGCCTGTGAAAGCAAGGACAACCCTGCCACAGCGCTTCCTTTTGCCCAGGATCCACCTTCTTCGTCTTGCTCTCTGGCATGGACGCTTTGTAGCTCTGTGGGGTAAAACCACCCGTCGGGCCAACCCCATATTGCCATCATGGCGGATGCCTTGTGCATTGTAGAGAAACAGCTTTTGTTGGAAGGAGTCAACAATGTCGTCAAGGCAACGGCCAAATGCTTGAACCACAACATGGCGCAAGACCTTGCTCTTCGGTACGGCTTGAGCTTGCTGGAGCAGATTGGCTTGTAGAGAATTTGCACAGCAGATGTCCATAAGACTTCTCCGAACCTCGCGGCAATTCAGTTTGCAATAGAACTGCAGCAATACCTCCAACAAATACCTTTTGGTCATGTAATGCTTCTTCTCCTTGGGCGTACGGACGATGCAAAGATGAGGAAAGGTTTGCCTGACATCTTCATCAGTGAAATTGAAGTAGCTTGGCTCCGAATTGCTAACCTTCGAATTTTGCTTGCATGTCAAACATCTGTATGGGCAATGTGTGAAAGACTTGCAATTTGGTATGTCCAGAATGACTTCAGTCCCAGCTCTGTCGCGCATAGGAATGATTTTGTGCCCGTGACGTTCAGCGTGCGCCTGGGCTGCAGCTGGGAACACATGCGCATCAGGATGGGCTGTGTCAATGGGCTGCTGGACGGCTGCAGTGGGTAGTGCAGGCACAAGAGTGAGAGCGCCACCCAGCTGTGTGCTGCAGAGCCGTTCCAATCGAACCTGTGTTCCCGACACTGCTGTGACAACCAGTTCCACCCGGAAATCGGTCAGACAATCTGCCTTCACTGTGGAGATGGAGCCCAGTGTCCAGTCTTGGTCAGCTCGGCGGCGAACATTGGCAATGTCTGCGTGCAGTTTGCCCCTCCTGGTGAAAGTGTCCAGCACGAACACCATGCTGCCCTGAAGCGTCGCAGTCATTCCGCGACAGGGAGCGTTGCTTGTCAGTGTTGGCAGGGACTCAGGGGCAGAGCGCTTAAAAGGATTTGTCCCCAAAATGCTGAGCAACACCGATGATGTACGTCCGCAAGCTAATCTTCCTGCCAGCTGTTCTAAGCTTTGACAGTGTTTCTCTGGCAGCCTTTCATTTTTTGGAGTCTGCTCAAAATCTGCTGGTGCAGCAGCAGGCTGCTGGCCCTCGGCACCATCGTCAGTCCTACTGCTGCGAGGCGTTGGGAGAAGTAATGACGGGCTCTGAGAACTCTTCTTGCCTTTGGTTGGCTGGGCTGAAGCTTTCGGTTTTCGCGGAAACTTCAATGCCCATTTCTGCACTGTGTTAGACATCTTGAGCCTGAACACTGGCAACTCGGCCACAGATCCTGATATTCCCTGATTGTAATGCAACATTTACAACACCGATTAAGCAATCCTTGCAACCTGTCATACCATGTCATAACAATGCCTGTTTTCCCCCGCACCCCGGTTTGGCTCCGGTAGGCATGAGTGCCTATACACGCCTGTCGTGTGCACCCCACAAAGTGATGAAATCACGGGAAGTGATCCTTCCCAACCCCTAGGCGGCACCTTTCTGCCTCAGCTTCCTCAGTCAACTCCGCCAAGGCCGGCTTGCGAAGGGACAGAACAACTCTGGACGCCGCCACTTCCTTCTGTTCCCCGGCAGCAGGAGCATCTGCCGCAGCTTCAGGTTCTTCCGCGCCCTGAGCGGCTTGATTCTTGCGGCGCTTCTTCTTTGGCCGCATCTCTTTGCGGGGATCTTTGTCACAGAGCAAGAGGCCATGGGCCACAAGGCCGTCGATAGCTTTCAGGAGCATGCTCTTAAAGTCTTTGGCTTTGCGATGTTTGTGGCGAAGCTCCTCTCGCATGATGGCCTGAGGAAGGCACGCAGCTTGCAGCAAAGGCAAGCCATGAACAAGGAATAACAAGGACTCATATTATTGGAAGCAAATTTTCAAAGTCAAGGCAACTTATTAGACTTGCATTACCTCGCAATGAGCAGCAAGAGTTTCTGCACAAGCTGACATGAACTTGAAACTTGTTGGGCCCAGGGGCTGAAGTGAACTCTCCACGAGCTTTCGGGCAAGATAGGATATCATGCTTCAGCTTGTCCTCTGCTGTTTCCAAGGCCTGTTGCTTGTAGTTGACTGGTGCGTCAGCATGGAGCATTCCGGCTGCCAAGCCACAGATGGACCGGTCGCGGTCGTTGAGGCCGAGGTTGCGTTCCAATCCACGGATGTAGCGCAGGTAGCCACACACCAAGAAAACTTGGCGCTCCCACTGCCAGAATGCTGCAGCCATCCTTGGTGAATATGATTCATGACTGGATCAAAGCTGAAAAACTTAGAAATGGGACACCTCACTAGTTTGCAGGCGTGCGTCTCGAAGTGATTCTGCGTTGCTCGGAGTGCACGCGGGTTTTTCTGAGGATAGGAAGAGAGCTGCTCGCAGTACTGTGCAATGCGCATGTTCACCTGAGCATACCTCAACATATCCGTTCCAACGAAGCCAAGTTTTGCTGACAGGTTCGAATCCACGTGGTGCTCATCCAACCAATCGTGAACCGCTCTGCGAACAGTCTGCAAGATCGTGGCCTGTGCGCAAAACACTTGACGTGGATGGATTGCGTGGTCATGATGCCTCTTCGGCGACAGTCAACAAGTAATCCACCAGAATCTATCTAGATGCGGTCCTCATGGGCCCTTGGAACTTTTCACAGACACTATGTAATGTAGTGGCAAGCTAGAATTTAGACAAGACACGGCATATTCATCTGGACCACAGCGAGAAGGTCGCGCACCAGGAAATCCAAGGGCAAAGTCATGAAGCTGGGCAATGAAACCTGTTGACATGCCAGCAGCCACGTCTGGGTCGACTGGATTTCTGTCGGGTGACCAAGCGACGGAGCACCTGCAAAGCAGGTAGCGACGTAGCAAGGAAAATGTAGCTACATGGGAACCAACCATGCATGTGACAATGCCAGGCTGAACACACATTAACAAGCCCCTTGCCTCTTGGGAAAGCCATTCGGCGTAGGGCGCAGCACCCATTCTGCAGCTTCAAGCTGTCCCCACAACTTTACCATAGTCTTGTAGGAATTGAGGCACATTCTCCCAGCTGCAGTGACGACGCTATCGTGCTCTGCTTGGCTGAACGTGTTCAGCTTGCTCTTTGAGAGAAAATTGATCCCTGCCGAGTGATCAGACCACGGAGTCTGCAGGGTGTTGGACAGCTCATCGGAGACACAGGCAAAGCCACCGTTGTTCAAGATGCTTGTGCGACACCCCTTCAAGGTTGCTTCAACCAGGTATGAATCTTTCATGGTGGTGTCCGCGTTCTTGCTGTTCTGAATCATGTGGACAGCAAAGGCATTATTCGGCGACTTCCTCGAAGAAGCGGCGCCGCCCAAGACAACCATAATGGCAGGCGAAATCTCATGGACATAGTCGGCTGCCACCACCTCAGGAACGGCTGTCTCCATGGCCTCCTTGCGCTGCTTCCAAATCTGCAGCGCTTCTTCTGTGCACTTGGAAAAGGCAGCAGGGGGGAAGTTGAGGTGAGCCCGCAGTGCTGCCAAGAATTGGTCATCATGAACACCTCGCAGGCTATTGCCTTCCTCCTCTGCCGTGTCCATGCAAAGCCCGATTGCATCCTCCAACTCCTGGTGTTGGCGGCGGTCTAAAATGGCTTCGATCAAGCCTTTGTGTTTGGTCAACTCCTCTGCCCTCAATTCCAAAGACTTTTCTATGGCACGCATCAACTCAGCCACTGTCCATCCAGAGGACAAGTCCGGAAGTTCATCCACGATTGCCTGCTCCACCTGCTCTCTACGCAGCTTCTTGGATGTAATGCCTCGCTTTGGCCACTGCAACTCCTCATCATTCTGGTCTGCGCTTGTGGCCACACGCTCAAAGATGGGGGCCTCTTCAAAGCTTCTCTCTGACTTAGCCACTTCCGGTGTAAGTTTTGTGCATCTATGCTCACAGTAGGCAATGTTGTTTTGCATACTCAGAAGGAAGCTGCCCAAGTGCCACCCATTCTTCAGGCACAAACGCTGGGAAGCTTTGTAGAACGGCGCAGGAAAATTGCGACTACCATCATAGTCCTTGGCCAGATCGGCAACACGGCACGTCAGAAAGTCCTGGCCCTTTGCTAACATTGGAAGCGTGGGAGCTTTAATGACCATGAGGTAACCGAGCAAAGTTAGTAGAATGCGGCCAAGGAACCGGATCAGCTGAAAGATCTCTGTGATTCCTTTCTTCCTCAGAATGCGCGCGGTCCAACATGCTGTGCACATAGCCGTAAAGACTGTCGACATCTTCAATGTGCTTGAACAAGGTCTTGTCCCAAAGAACCTGGTTCACCTGGTCCATGCTTGTTGCGCGTCCTGAGAGCGTGATACGCACAGCCACACAAGGGAAACACGGAACACAAAACCAGAAGCAGCTAACGTGTATGCAGCACAGGTTCTCAAATCAGCCAAAGAGGACTGGACAGGCTCGGAAGCTCCGGCACCCTGCCCGGGCACCTTTGCCCGCTTGATGTTAAAGCCCCAATGGGAAGATGCCAAAGCTGGGCCTTCAGCAGCAGGACTTCCTTGCCCAGAGCCTTGTGTTGGAGAAGAATTAGGTGTAGGCGGGGCTTTCTGTGTGGGCGGGAAAGGCGATTGCTCTTCGGCCTTTGCCTTGGTGCTGGGTGTTGGAGAATGTGGCCACTCTGCTTCTTCAACTGCTGGGCTGAGCCTTGCATTTTCATCCGGAAGTGCAGCCATGGCAGAGATTTCGAACTGTCGGGGGAAGGAAGCCAAAAGGAGCTAAGCGACTTGCAGACCCTGAAATGCCAATACTGCAAAGGCACTGTTCAAAAAAGACAAGACTTGTGTGTTCCAACAAAAAGACTTTCTGAACCTGTTCGCCACCCACCGTCATTTAGGAAGCGCTGCCTGTTCTTGTCTGCATTATTTTCGGATCTTAAATTTCCTGGTCCTCTTCACTTTTTCCTTTCCGTCCTTGTTCACTTGAAGTTACCTTGAGCCTCGGCCCTTGCATGGGGTTGTCTTGTCAGCGGCTTTCTTCGCCGCTTGTCTTTGCATGTTCACTGACGTGCCCAGTCGCGCTGGTAAGGAATATGTCTTTTCACCTGTGACGCGATACTGCCATCAGCCTACTACGTCAATTCTGTTATGTCTACTGGGACCTTTTGACCCCAACATATCTGATCGTCTCCACAGAATTCCACAGACAAGCTGCATGTATATCGAACCTGACCATTCTCAGAATGACCGCTCTTGCCCTGTATTGTTGTGTAGTGTGCCGCGTTCCCAGCCCCACGCAGTAGCCGAGTTTGCCTGTGTGTACCACACTCGCGAAGAAGTGGAAGAAGAATGGGGGGGGTTCTGCGCCAGGTCCCCTCATATTATCATACGGAATGTGTGTGTGGGTCCATGGCGACTTGCATTGCAGAAGGAAGGCTGGCGTTAGCAAATGGACGAAATCCGGGCCGTCAGGACCGTCGAGCAGCTCCTATTTGCTCGTTCCCAAAAGTGGGACCGAAAACCCGCCGCAAAAACGGGGCCGCAATATTGCCGGAAGAAGGAAAGGCTTCCAATATGGCGGTCCCGTTTATGGGACCAGGGTGTTGCATACACAGTCAGCAGTGAGTAGCGGAGACTCTGGAACCTTTCGTTTGAGGGCACTTCGCTGAAGCCTTCGAAGATGCATGTATTAAGACTCGCCACTCCGTCCTGCAACTTGGGGTACCAAAAGAATACCCGACTCGGTGTCTTGTCAAGCATCACCTTCCCATGCAGCGACAGAGATAGAGAGTGATGAGCTGCTTGCGACGCACCAGCGCAACCCAACCAGGAAGTTCCTTGAAGGCAGAAGTCAAGCACAACCAGTCAGCAAGCCTCCAAAGGCCATCCATCGAGGAGCCGCGGATTGCCGATGCCAGCCGGGGCGACATACCCGCCAGACAAGGACGCACCAGGGCAACGCAACCAGGAAAGCAGAAGCCAAGCACAACCAGTCAGCAGGTCTCCAAAGGCCATCCATCGAGGAGCCGCGGATTGCCGATGCCAGCCGGGGCGACAGACCCGCTGACAAGGACGCACCAGGGCAACCCAACCAGGAAGGCAGAAGTCAAATCAGCGAGCAAGTCTACAAAGGCCATCCATCGAACACCCGAAGCAGCAAGTCGCCAAAGGCCATCCAACGAGGAGCCGCGGGTTGCCAATTGCCAGCCGGGGCGACAGAGCAGCTGACAAGGACGCACGAGGGCAACCCACCCAGCAAGCCAGAATTTAGCCAGCAAGTCTCATAGATGCCACCCAGTTGCCGATGCCAGCCGTTCACAGCACACCGGCGATCCGAATATGGAACATGTGCCGCAGCAGCCCCATCTTCGCTTGCAAAGGCACATGCGAAATGTGGCACTGCTTTCTGCACACAGCGAGCAAGTATGCAGGTGAGCTCCGCGACCATACTGCAACTTTGGCGTGCAAAGAAATACATGACCCTGTGTCTGGTGTCTTGTGTCATTGTTTGCACTGACGTGCCTGCCGTGGCCGCCCTCCATGGGGAGGCGGCGCACGGGGGAACAGAACATCAGTGAACCGAGCATGGAACATGCGGCTGCTCTATGTAGCCGCTCTTGCGGCGAGGCGGCACGGGGTATACCGAACCGAACCGCCAGGACTTTGACTTAGCGGGGATCGTATCGAGCACATCACCGAACCGAGCATGGAACATGCTGCAGGCTGCTATAGCCGCTCTTCACGACGAGGCGTAACAGACTATCACCGAACTGAGCATGGAACATGCAGCAACACCCCTATATATCTTCGTTTGCATCCTTTTAAGAGCGGACGAGCTGACTCTTGCAAGGGTTCGGTCTTGAAAAGTTTAAAATTGTGAGAAACAAATTATACCGGGTTGGCCGCATGTCTAACGCTTCTAGATCATATGCGTACACAGAAAATGTTTGGCTTCCATGGCGCTGCTGCGTCCCCAAGTCAAGGAAAAAAAATCAGGCCCATTCCGCACGCTCAGCTGAGACCGCATTGTAATGCAATGGCTCTTCGAGCCGCACAAGATGTCTCAAACCGTGCTGTCACTTGTTGCCGTTCCCTGTCGTAATAGACTGCAGCTGTACCTGAGTCCACAATGTGCTCATGGAATTTCCATTTTCATAGGATTTTAATCTTGCACCCGGCATGATGGATCTGTTGTGCATTTCAGATGTTTCAAGGCTGACTTCTGAGTCTCCTTAACACCATCAGCAAACAAGACGGGGCCTACCGTGAGAAGCAAAAGGATGCAAGGGCAAACAATGAAGAATGAAGCGTGTGTGAATACTTCGACCCGCCATTGGAAGGGACTTAGCGATAGTCTAGTTTTTTGATGGATTCGCAACGTCACGACCCCGTAAAAACAATGTATGCAGAAGATCTGCATGCAGTTGACCCTTCCTGTAACTCATGCGATGCATGCGGTCCAAGCACCGAAAGTCTGCAGTTGCCGTTCAACGGCGTCAGCGTTCTCCCGCTCCACAGCATCAACAATGATGCGCCGCCAAGCCTTATAGCTAGGACAAGAAAAAGACGTCTGATCATCATGCCATGATCATGTCTCCAAGCATGTCCTAATTCACTTTGCCTTTGGGAAACAAACGTCTCCCATGCAGACAGGAATCATTGGCAGACGGTTCTTCAACATTACCAGTACTGTAGCAGAACAAAGGCACCCTTTTCTACAGCTCATCCCCATGCTTTGCAAGGACAAGGAACAGCCAGACCCCAAAACTGCCGAGGCACTGAGCGCCCTTCTCCGTGCGATCGGCTGCGACCACGTTCTTGTTCATACCGTGCGTTCTGCCTCAGACAGGAAGCACAGCAACCCGGCGCTGAGGTGCTCATCATTCCACGTATACGTGTGTGCATCATCAGGGCCCCAAAACCAGAGAACCAGAAGCACGCAATGGATCAAGTGTTTGGAATAAATTGGCATGGCCAGGCACCAATCGTCCCAATCGGCATTACGCCACCACTGCCTGACCGGCGGCTGCTGCAACACGCCACAACCCCCAACACAATGCAGCATCATCCTTCCGTGTCCCCTATGTGAAGTGATAACATCCACTCATCAGTGTTATTGTGTAGGCATGCCTGGTCGGGCTGCCAATGTTTTGCACAGGGGAAGCTTTTGGCTCAGGCGGTGCTGCGTTGACCTGTGTGGGCATGGCAAACGCACAAAGTCAGTGCCATCAATTCAAAACAAGGATCTTCCCCGTGCAACAGCAAGAAGAAAACATCAGAAACATATGTTTGAAGCTCGGAATCTTTAAATTAGTGGCAAGGCAACGATTCACGCCAGCCAGGCGGCAAGGGTATACCTTGAAGGCGCCAGCCAATCGAGCTTGTCGTGCCATTCGCAAGCACCTTGGAAGCACGTGGCAGGCTCAGTGGCATGCTGCCTTTCGCAAGCTGCATACTACATAGCTCACATCCAGCCAAACAGTTGGAGCTTGAAGGTGATTAGGTGGAAGAAAAATGCCAATCAACCGAAAAGAAGGCTGGAGTCAGTGGCAAACCAATGCTGGAGACGAGAAACTCGGCGCTACTTGGATATGTTGGTCGATGCGGCAGGATACCACAACACCAACGGTAGCGGTCCCGTTCGATTGCTCCACCATGACTTTGCGGCCCAGCATGGCCATGGTAGCTGGAAGGAAATCGTTTTGTAGCCCTAGATGAATCTCACAGCTGCTGCGCTGTGCGAAGGTGTGTGTGTGTGTGCGTTGGAAAATGCAACTTGCAATACAAGGCTATGTCCAATCGAAAACACGTTGGGAAGATACTGGCTGGCAGGCTTCGAGCAGCGACGATGCCGATCAAATATGAAAAAATCCAAGACCAGTGTGCAAAACCACACCCGCGCTGGCAGTGGCAACAAAGTGTTCCAATAGGAATGTGGTCGCAAGTGTTCCGCAAAACATAGAGATATTTATCTATGTCTATAAACGTGGTATCTAAATCAAATATACAATACCTCCTTCTCTTTCTATACCACATATCCATCCATCCGTCCATTGCAAGTACAACATGTCTGTCAAACTCTCTGTTGGAGCAGCTATAATTATCTATCTTCTATCTTCTTATCCAACTGTTGCTCCATCCCAGCCATACATTGCTCACGCCCGAAAGGTACTCATTGAGTCAGCAGACCTCTTTTCAACGGGAGAACAAATGGGATGACCCACAAGTCCGCAGGGGCGCAAAAGGCCGCAAGCGTGTCATCCAGAACCATGCAGGGGCGCAAAGGCCGCAAGCACTATAATGCAAGGGCGCAAAGGCCGCGAGCGTGTGAGCAGGGGCGCAAGGCCGCAAGCACCAGCAACGCAAGGGCGCAAAGGCCGCGAGCGGGGTATCGTAGAACAGTGCAGGGGCGCAGGGGCCGCGAACACTTACAGTGCAGGGGCGCAGGGGCCGCGAACACTTACAAGCACAGGCGCGCTGAATGTGTTTCCCCCAGACAGGGGCCATGCATGAAGCAATCTAGAGCACGGGAGCGGTGTGGAGCTTCGGAGCTGAGCAAGGGCGTCCCAGCATCGGAGCATCGGAGCGCAGAATGTCAACACAAGAGCTGCGGAGCGGAGTGGAGCATCGGAGCATCGGAGCGGAGGGCTGCGCAGCGGAGCGGCGTGGAGGATCAGAGCCTCGGAGCAGAGGATTGCGCAGCGGAGCATCGGAGCATCGGAGCGGAGGGGTGCGCAGTGGAGCGGAGCGGAGCATCGGAGCGGAGGGTTGCGCAGTGGAGCATCGGAGCGGAGGGGTGCGCAGCGGAGCATCGGAGCATCGGAGCGGAGGGTTGCGCAGTGGAGCATCGGAGCATCGACGCGGAGGGTTGCGCAGTGGAGCGGAGCATCGGAGCGGAGGTTTGCGCAGCGGGGCGGAGCGGAGCATCGGAGCGGAGGGCTGCGCAGCGGAGCGGGGTGGAGCATCGGAGCATCGGAGCGGAAGAGCTGCCGCACCATGGAGCGGATCCGAGGGAGGATCGGAGCATCGGAGCGCAGGATTTCAGCAGTTGAGAGGAGTGGAGCGGAGTGGAGCAAGCAGAACTGATCCAAACGAATATAAAAAAGCACATTTGGACTTGCAAGGATGGATTTAGTACAAGCACCGGAGCGGAGCACCGGAGCGGAGCAACGGAGCATCGGAGCAGGAACGTTTACCAGGACACGCTCTGCACTCACTCTGCTTTATATATATATATATAGATATTTTTTGTGGGTGGTATGGGGGTAAGACACAATGGGGTACTTTAAACCACAACCCTAAACCCTAAACCCCATGGTCTGAAAACGGGCAGCAGTCCATTTATTTTATTCGTTGTGGGGGCTGTGGGAGGGGGGGGGAGACATCACACAGATAAACCTTGATACCTAATATTTAAACAACAACAGTTTAGATTAGACTTTGGCATGACCCACGCCATACCGATGTCCACTGTCTACAAGAAGACATGTGTGTAAGTTACATGTCTTAACTTGTGTTGCATAACAAAACTCACCATGAGACTGACAAACAGAAGACAAAAGACACACAAAAGTCTATCAGAAAATTGATTTAGTGACTGACTGTGCGCCAATCATTGCATGGTTTCATTCAATCTGCTTTTGTGTATTGATTAGTCTAGTTCTCCAAGTTCCCTGGATTTGTCATGGCCCGCACCAAGCGTAACGTGTTAGCAAAAAAAGCAGCTGCAGCGGCGACGAGATCTGTCCAGAAAACTCCCAAAGCAAAGAGAGAGGCGAGACCAAAGGCAGGATTGGGGTGGGTGGGTGGGAACTGGGAACATCTAGTTTGTGAGTGGGTGACCGGTGGGTGCACTGGACAGTGGCTGGAAGGAACATACTGATACTAGATATTTTACCAATGGCCATTGGCAAAAATGTATGAGCTTTGGGATGCTTGAAGATGAGCCATTTCATGACATCATCCTGAGCATTATCATCACCATCATGACGCTTCATCAGACTTCATCATGATGTTGGTTACTGTATGTAGTTCTAGTTCTGGTATTGTTTTTCATTCATCGCCCAGAACGGTTGCCCAGGGCAAACGGCCCAAGCCCTCTGCGAGCTCGGGAAGGCAGAAGTCGGAGTCAGCAGTGCCAGCAGAGTCATCACACACCAATCCGTTTGATCAACCTCCTCCTGCGGGGCAATGTCGTTTAAGGGTTCGTGGTGGTGCTTTGAAGCCAGTGCCGCCACCGCAGCCTGATACTGAACAGGAGTTTGTTGGACACGGTTACTTGCTATCAGTCGTTGATGTTCATCATGAAGTTGTCATATTCATATTCATACCCGGTTAAGTTAAATACTTATATTGCATTCACCAACTGACCAACCTGATTCTCAGTTACTGGTTGGTGATTATAACTTTGACGGATTTCTTTGTTTATGGCAGGAACCTGCTCCTGGCGCCACCTCTGTGATTGGTCGCGTGTCGGTCAAGAAACGTCCGGCGGCCTATGCACGGGCGAAACGGCCCTCAGGGAACACAGCCGGTGTGGAGGTTGTGAATGATGACACTGGTTGTGAAAAGGTTCTTGAAGCAGATGCCGCATCAGTTGCGCCCGACGAGCACGGGGATGAAACAGTGAATGAGAAGAAGCTGAAGAAGCCACCTGGCTACAAAGATATACAACTAGTTAGATAATAAGGTTGGCAGCAACGGCTATAATCATAACATAGCAGCATAACACCACAGTTCAGTTCGTGATGCGATTAAGGATATTATGGTTTGTCGTTCGATGAATGCAGTGGTAGAATTCAATTTCCATGGAGGTTTCTGAAAAGCGTTTTTTGGTCTAAGTGGATGGCCAGACTTCACAAGTTTTTTCGGGTTCGGGTCCGGTCCTAAGTTATGGTCAATTATTTTTCACAGATTCAATTCACAGTCATATGTTTTTTCAAAATCTTGACAGACAGCTTATGCGATTATGCGACCATGACATTGACATTGGCTGACCTTTCTAGTCAGAGCCCCACCCTCACAATCATAGTTTTGGCATCCAGTGGCAATGGCAGGAAGAAAGCATCATCATCATCATCCAAGAGTTCGACTTCGACTTCATCATCCTCATCTACTTCAGGGGCACCAGCTGCAGAGCCTGCAATGTCTGCCTTTGGCGGTGCTGGTTTGGTAAGTGATGCCGGTGATTGCTTTCTGCCTTTGGATGATGCTGCAACTCAATCTGATGATCGTGCCCTGTCGCATTTGTTGCATCCATTTGTTTTTTTGATCCCCTCCACGTTGCCCCAACGTAGATTTGGTCACGCGTGCGCATGTCTCGCACCATTTTACCAACGTGACGTGCGGTGCCTCTAGGTCTTGGTTGTTTTAGATCTTGGTTGTTTTGATTTTGGATTAAAGCGGTTGGCCAACAAGGAGTGCAGTGTTTCAATGGTGGTGTGGTGGATTCGTTTGACCAAATGTGGGATCATGCCAACCGAAATCTTGTGCGAATAGAAGAGCACTTCGGGGTGAAGGCTGTGCAGAACTTGATCAGCAACATGTCAAAGTCCGTGGTAATATCTCTCTACAGTGGCTTGGGAGGAGCAGAGGCAGGACCCATGCTGAAACCAGATTCGGTATTGGAAAAACGGTTCATTAAATCACACCAGCATCTTACCAATCTAGTTTTGATGGGCATGCTGCTGAGTCAGTCAGGTCAGGTCACGTGATGCTGAGCTGCTGAGCTGTTCCTTTTTTTGGAAACGACATCATCCGTTGTAGTCGTGGTCGTAGTCATTGCGTAGAAATGGGAGGCTATTGATTAATGAAGTAACTTATGATTTGCGATTGGCAATTGGCAACCAATTTTTTTAAACACAAGTTCAAGTGCACTAAGTGGACTATAGGACCGGTTATGTTGGACTGGTTCCTGGTGACATCCCTTGGCAGTTGGCCACAATGACCAACTACACTGCATTGGTGGCATTCTGCAAGAAGCGGGGCTGGGAGCCGCCAGACAAGCCACAACTTTTCTTGGCTTGTGACGTTGAACCAACGTGTCAGAAAGTTCTGTTGCACCACAAGGACTGGACCGTCTCATGTTTGTCACATTTGACACTGTGACATGGTCAACCTTGGACACGCTGTGATGGTGGTGACTGACAGTGGTAGTACCACTGACCACAGTGGTAGTGGTAGATTATGGTAGATTGTGTTTTCTTTCCCAACCATGGGTCCCTCAGCATTCAGGGATTTTGTAAACTTCGAACAGGACCCAGCTACTATCGTGATTCCTGATTTGAAGCGCTTCATCACTGAGACTGGATGGGCCAAAGCTGAGAAAATTTCCGATGAATTTCACCAAAAATATCCAGATCCCAAACGACTGCACATTTCGGAGCGAGAGAAGGCTGGGCTAGACTTCGTGGAGGCAGTGGTCAACATGTTTGTTGATGAAGGCATGGCCGATGAGATTTTTGGCCTGGAAGGCAAATCAGTGCCTTTGTTGCATTCACTCCGAGATCAGAACTACTTTTCAACAGTACAGCAGACAGCAGTGACAGCAGTACCATTAACCATTACCATTCACCATGACAATTACTGACCATATTTGGTTCCTTCGTATCAGTATCATAACCCTTATTTGATGAGTGATGCGTATTCAGTTGGCCAAGGGTACCAAGTGCCAAGTGCCACG